CTACTTTCCAATTTTTTCACTGGGTCTTTCTGGGGTTTTGCCAGGTATCTTTCAGCCCATAATTGGCTTCCATTGCCCCCAGATTAGGTATTTGCAGCACAAATTTCACTGACCACTGACACAGCCACAATATATGCCCCTGAGAAGTGCTGAAGACTTTCACCACAGATTAGTGAGACACATGAATAAAGCAAAAAGCATGCCCTTTGCTAACCTTGCCCTGCCTGGTCTGTGGCAGAGATGCTGCTGCATTTCCAGCTGTAGTTAACCTCATTCAGCTCCACCAGTGTTAGCAGTCGTTGAGAGCCGTAATGTAGATCAGTGCCCTGTTAGTGCCACTATTTTTAGGACTGTAGGTCAGGTTTGTGGTTATTTCATTCCTACCACTTGCTCAGAGCTGCAAGGGCTGGCGAAGGGGAGAGGGGCCAGGGAGGGAAAGGTAAAGGTGGTGTTAACCCACCACAGCCCACCCACTGGTAGTTCAGAGGCTCTTCCTGCACAGCTTCCCCATGAGCAGGTGCAGAGCCTTCAGTAAGCTGTTAGATCAGCCCAGCAGGGTCACATCCAGGAGGTGACCAGTCCTGGCAGAGCCAACTGAGTCCTCCAAAGAGCCAGGGACTGACCCAGGAGCTCCTGGGCGTGCCCAGGACCCATCAGGGATCCCTCAGGCTGCCAAACCTCTGTCCCACAAGGGACAAGCCATGCGCTGAGCAAGCTCTGTACCATTTCATCACGTGGATGGCAGAGATGGGCATCAACCATGACTCGCAGGGGAACGCAATACAATCGCAATACAGTAACTGTGAAAAAAAGAAAGCGTTGTAACTCCCTATGGCAAGTAGGTAAGGAACCAAGGGGCTGGCAACAAATGCTTCCTCCCGAGTCAGTTCTGTGTGTATCTATGTGTAATACGAGATTTGTAAAGTCATATCGGTATGTGTAGAGTATATATAACTGCATACTTCTATGGTGATTTCTTATGGCATTGACTGTTGCACCATGTTAAATATATTTTGTTTTGGTTTGATGACTCCGTTTTGATGCACTGTGTTTTATTTCAACTCCGGAGATAGAAACATCGCTTTCACGTCGGCAATACCTAGCCAACCTGCTGCGAAGGATGGCACCATCAGAAAGGTTTAAATTTGTATGAGTCAATCTTTTTTAATGTAAATACTTTATGTATGATTTATGTGACATTTTCATTCTGACAGCTTGGCATTTACTGCAAAAGATAGATAACACATACGATGTGTTAGTTTATCACCTCTAAAAAAGAATAACCAACCCAGACACATGGAAGAATCAGGTTTGGGCTCGGGGTAATGATTATTGTTGGACTGGAACCAAAATCCTTAACTGGATAAAAGTCAAATTTAGGAAAGAAAAATAAAAATAAAAAAAAAAAATCCTGACTTAGATCCACCCCATAATGACCAAGTCCCGGTCCCCCAGCCAAGAGTCTAGGAAGGAGGAAAGGATCAGACCCAAACTCCAGGCTCAGACTCATCTCTGATTTACTTTTATTCTGAAGATGGAGTAAATGCAAGTCTTTCATATGGTTCCCTCCCCTTGTCTTCACTCAGACAGAAAGTTTAAACCAGCACATATGGAAGGTTTGAGAGCTGGAGGAGGCTGAAGCTTGCTTCAAGAAACACAGAGGCTGGAATATTTCAACACTGCTACTGACTGAAGGAGGTGTTAGGGAGGGAGACAAGAAAGGAGAAATGAAGAGATGGTAGAATAATATAAATTAAAAGAGAACAGAGTTCGGATGCAGCTCAGATAAATCTCAAACACGCAGCAGAACTCAGTTATGGCAAGCTTGCCCCGGGCAGAGTCAGTGTGCATTTCAGTCTTCTCAAGTAGCTGCTGCAGCCACCTGCAACTTTAAATGCCATGTCCAAGGTCTTGGCATAGCCAGCTGGGTCCCATATGTATTTCGGGACTGAGTGTTATATTTGGGTCCTCAGAAGTGGCCACGTTAAACAGTGTTATTATCCGACATGAACAAGCTCTAGCAATCCCATTATTATGATGGGTAGGGCAGAGAATGGAGACAGTTTATGCCAAGTTTAACCTTTGCAGTGTCCTCAAAAGGAAGAAAAGGAAAAAAAAAAAAAAAAAAAAAAAAAAAAAAAGATCCTGCAGCTCTCAAGCTGTGTTCTTGTCAGTGTTTGAAAAGCCCAGAGGGTTTCTACTTCCTTGGTCCTTGTGATCTGGCCCAACCTTGGGGAATTTATTTGAGAAGTATTCCCTGAGCTGCAGAAGTCCCCCCCTTCCCTGCTGGAGCTCCTTCCTTTTACTTGCTGTAGCCACTGGTGATGATGACTGGAAAGCTGGGAGCAGCTCCCATAGTGACCTGGGCCTGAATAAGCTGATTTCTGCAGATGACCCACTCAGGAAACACCTGAGCAGTCATCCTGGGACTCCTACCCAGCAGGGCAGGGCTGCTCCTGCCAACCCTCGGACCTCACGTCATTGCCACTCTTGCCAGTGCTGCAGCTTCCTGACGTGATGGATCAGTCCCCTAACGATGGAGGGAATGCTGCTGCCCTTTAAATCCTGAGGCAGAGGACAAAGAGGACAGGTCCTCAAACCTGGCAGCTCTGTGGAAACACCTTGCACAAAACAAGAGGATTTTGTGTCTAATTGCAGACTGTTTTGGCAATGGAGCAGTGGCACAAGCAAGCCACTTTTGCTGACCTTTTAGGTATGGGTGTTTTGGAGCACTGTCTTACTCTGAAGTGAGAGGGATGGGCCAACTCATCCTTGTCCCAGTGGGTTTCAATAACTAGAAATGGCTGAAAAGCAGAGGAAGGTGAGGAAATCCAGCAAATCCCACCCTGCCTCCTTGCCTCCCTCTTTCCCTTTCTGCCTTTTTCTTTCTCCCGTGTCTTCAGAAGCCTCTTAGTATGGGGATTTCACCTCCTGGTTACTGTGTAGCTCTTAGGCATATTCTCAAGCATGCCTACACTGCCCAGCAAGTCTGGTGAGAGGTGGCAACACACTGTCACAGCAGCAGAAGTAAGAAAAAGAAGAAAGCACCAAATTATTTGTGAGCCGCTGCGTTTGTCCTTTGCCTGTTCACAGCAGCACTGTCACTGGTGTCACAGCTTGCAGAACAAAGCCGTGCCACTTAATTCAGCGACACGAACGGCCAGGAGAGTTTATTTTTCTTCAGTTCCTGAAAGCATTTCAGAATCGCCAGTTCCTTTGATTTCTGCATGGCAATATAGCACTCCTCTGTAAGTTTTCCCACAGCAGTTTGCACTCCAACTGGCAGTGCACGCAGGATCTTGGTCCAATTTTCATATGGCTCTTCCTGCCTCTCGCTGTTGACATAAAGCCCTTCTCAGACGAGCTGAAGCCAGATCCCCTGCTCGTGAAAATTCCCATTGTTCCTCTGATTCCAGCAAAGCTTTGCTGTCTTACACCAGCTCAGTGCCTGGCCTGTGTCATGTTGCAAGAAGTTCCCATCTCATGCTCCCTTTGGCAGATAAAAGTTCCCTTTCCCTTCTTCATCCCTTTCCCCTTCAGCCTTTGGAAGGGTCATACGCGACATTTGGGTGAAGCACACTGTGCCCATTGAGATCCAGGTGTGGAGGCCAGCCTCCCTCTGCCACTGCCTCCCCAGATGGTCTTGGTCAAGTCTCCACCGTTGCTGTTGCCTCCTTGCTCCTGGTCGCAACCCAGCACATTCCCTGTGCCCACAGGGCCAACGTAGTGCCGTAAGCCTCTAATTGTAAAGCTGCCTGAAACCCTTGGGAGCACAAAGCTGTAGAAAAGCAGCGTTATTGTAATGGCTGGCCACTGTTTTTCTCACGAGGCAACTAAAAGCTGAAGAAGGAGCTACTTTCTAGAAGGCGCTCTCCATATGAGTAAGTGCCGAACCACGCAGTGCACTTCGACAGATGGGTATATACGGATGCACGGGGGAGAGAGCAGCGACAGCGACTGCGTGTGAAGCTTTTAGCAACCACCTGCACAGCACCTCTGAGCCCCAGAGCCGTCACGGTCTCGGTGAAGGGGATGTCACTGCCTCCCATCCCCGAGAGCACCCAGGCTTGCCGCACGCTCTCCGGGGGCTGATTTGTCAGTGTCTCCTCCTTGCAGAGTGAGGAACTTGGGAGGGAGTGACATTTTAATTCCAGTCATGAAATCCCCTTGGCCCTGCTCCAATATCCTAGGAATTCCTATCAGAAAGGCAAATGGCTTTGGGGAAAAAAACATAAAGATCAGAGCCTATGACTCGGGAGGGAAATACACGACCTTGTTGTGCCTCAGTTTCTCTATTCGCCTAGTGGGAATAACACTATTTCCTCGCACTCCTCTATTTATCTAGGTTTGCAGAGTATTGCGGGAGCCGCTAGGTAAGTGTCGTACGCTGGTTGCTGCTGCGGAGCTGAAAACTGTTGTAGCGACATTGCTCCTTATGGTGTCTTTCAACCGAGATCCTCACCATAATTCCTACAGAAAGACGGTGCCAGATATATATATATTTAAATTGCCAGTGACTTTACCCACACCATGTCAGTAACTTTGTAAGAGCGGAGATCTCCTTCCTCAGACCTCTCCCTGCTCTTGCTCCAGCAGAAAGGAGGACAAGGGGACGTGGATCCCGCTGGAGGGACGGGGTTGGGGTGGCCGTGCACCCTGTGGGGCGCAGGCTGGCGAGACCCGGGAGCAGGGGAGGCAGAGGGGTGCTGTGTGGGTGCCTCGGGGGTCTGGGGATCCCCTCAGAGCCCCGGCTGTGGGGGTGGGCCCCAAGCCCTGCTCCCCTCGAGGGCAGGCGGGTGCGTGAGGGCTCCTGAGGGGCCCGGGGGGGGGAGATCAGCGACCTCCCGCGTCCCCCCGCCCTGAGGCACCCGGGGCTCTGTGTTGGGGCTCGGTGCTCGGGCTCGGAGCCCCCCCTGCCCGCAGCCCCCCTCGAGGCTCTGCCCGCCCGGGGCCGGGGGCGGCGGCGGGGCGGTGACTTTGTGCTCCGGGGGCCGCTGCTGCATATTCATGAGGTGATGTCAGAGGGGAGAGCCCAGCGCGCCGCGGCCGCCCGGCACCGCCATTTCCTGGCCGAGGAGGCGGCGGCGGCGGAGGGACGGGCCCGGCCCAGGAGGCGCCGAGCGGCTGCGCGCCGGCAGGGGGAGACCGCCCGGCACCGGCACCCGCAGCCGCTCCGCTCCGCTGCTCGCCGCCGGAAAGAAGTTGGAGATTCCCCGCAGCCTCCCGGGGCAGCCCGGCGGAGCCGAGGAGCCGGGGGACGATGGTGGTGCGGGAGCGATGGAGCTGAAGCGGGGCATGGCTCTGCCGCGCCTCCTCTTGCTGGGACTCTGGGCTGCGGCGCTCCGGGACGGCGCCGCCGCCGCGGCAGGTGAGGCGCCGGCGGCCCTCCGGGGACGAGGGGGCTCGGGGTTGGGCTACAGGTGGCCGCGGGGCTCGGCGGCCCCGCTGCGGTTCCGGGCACAGCCGGGAGCTGCACCTCGGGGAGCTGTACCTCGGGGAGCCCCGGGAGCGGGGCAGCGGCCAGGCTCGGTGCCCTGCCCGTGCACGGCGGCAGCGATCCGCTCAGCCCGGGGGCGAGCCGGGCACGGTGCCTTCCCCAGCCCTGCGCCCTCCGAGCCGCGCTGCCCAAGTTGGAGCCCCCCGGGAGGGCTGCGGAGGCCGGGCAGCCTCCCACCGGCCGGGAGCAGGAGGAGCAGCAAGGCTTCCCGCAGCCCCCCTCTGTCCCCGCTCCCCAAAAAACTTCACGGGGTCGCGCTCCCAACCTCCCGAGGTGGCAGGAGCGGGGAGGCGAGGCGCGCCGACCCGCTGCCTGTCGCGACAGGCGGTGCTGCTGTCGGTGCTGCCTGATAAGGAGCGCGATAGAATCGCGTCTCCGAGCGGCCAGCTCACGGCTCGGCTCCTGTGGCTGTTCCGGGGAGGTTTGGAGGGAGCCGCTTGGGCTGGCGAGAACGTTATCGGGTGGGAAATTGTGACTGGGAGAGCCCAAGGGGGAAAGGTGGACGGTAAAAGCGGTGCTGACCTCCCGTGCGCTTCTTCCAGATACCTACAGGAAGGGATGCCATAGCTAAAGCTGAGTTCTGTCAAAAACTTGTGAATTTATTTTTAAAACGCCCTGATTTGTATTTCTTCCCTTCAGTTGATCTTGACAGAAGGCTTACATTAGGCAATGTGGAGAATTACAACTTAGGCTGAACACTCCTGCTGTATATTAATTTCCTCCAGCATTAATTTGTATGGGAACTGAAACCATAAAAGGTCTCTAATGACACTTCATTGTTTAATTTGTGGTTAACTCTTCGGCAGAGCAGTCTGAGGAAAGCCAAGTAGTTTGCCTTTCCATTAAGGCACCTGTAATGAGAGTGTCTGTCAATTTACGTGTGCCTTTAGCAACCTGGCTGCATTAGTTTTCTGTAATACTGAGAGAGCTGCTGTGAAGCTTTCATGTTTTGTTCCAATATTGTGAGTGGTGGAAGGGAGGTTGCTTTCTGGCACACACTGGGACGTGTAATTTGTGTTACAGATGAGTTAAGTAATGCAAGATTAGATCATCCTCACCCAAGGTGATTAAATCCTTAGTCCAGCAAACCAGCTGCAGCAACTAACCTAAAACGATCGCCTTACCAGTTTTGCTGTGCCTTTTGTCAATGCGCTGAATTAACAGCAGCAGGCAGAAAGGCAGAAATACCGATCGCTGGACACCAGCTGGGAGCAGGCTGGGGGATCTCATTAGAAACAGGCACGAAGTCCTTCTGCCGGTTCGGGGATGCTCCCGGGGTGCTGGTGGTGGGGGGAGCTGCTGTCCCTACAGGAGGGTTGTGTGTTGGTGGGGGGGAAGCGGCACACCGGGTGTCTCCGTGTCTGGTCACTGCTCAGGCTGTAACAGAGTGCGAGAGCAACAGGGCTGCTTACTTGGCGCTCTGGCTTTCACACGTGATGTTGTGTAGGGTAGCGAGGCATCCTGTGAGAAGCTGACCGGCCAGTGACCGGGGCGAAGCTGGAATGCACAGTGGTGATACATGGCTGCACCAGAGCAGTGGAGTGATGGAATTGGGGGTTTTGTTTTGTTCTGTTGTGTGTTTTTTCCCTAAAATATGCGGAAGCTGCTGCTAGGGCATAATATTGAGCTGGGCAAAACCTGTTCTGGTCTGTCAGTCCTGTGCCACGGCATAGGAAATGGCCACTCTCCCTAACAAAACTAGCTTTACATTTATATTCCACGTTCCTGCTTTCCCACGGTCTCCTTTGATCCTCCGGTTCCTCCTTTATTTGCTGTCTTTCCAAAATGCGCTTGTACAGCTGGCTTCCGTGTTTTCTCATGGTAACACATTCCATAGATTCACTTCTGCTTGAGGGAAACACTCCCCATCCACCCACACGTACAGCAATGCTCCGGGCCAGATTCCGATCGCATCTGTGGCAGTGTGGACCTGAGCAGCTCCCCTGGTGCTGGTCCTGCTGCTTCAGGGTCCTGCTGCTTTGGAGCCGCGGCTCCGTGGCTCTGAGCGCGGCGTGGTCCTTCGGCTGGACCCAGGGAGGCTCGCTGGAGCGCACGCCCACATCACGCGACAGAAATCTCTGCTCCTCGGCGAGGTGCTGTAGAACAGGCTTTGCTTTCACAGGTTCTGTAAATTGCAGGGAAGCTTTCTGTAACGCAGAGGAACCGTGTGCGCTGAATAACGTGGCATAATTGATTCTTTCTCGTGTCCCAGCTCTTTACAAATGCATACAATGGAGCGAGTGTGATGATTTCTTAGCGGTGCGGGAGCACCGTAGCTGAAATGCAAGAGGGAGGTGTGGTACCACGTTGAGAGCGTGGTCGGCACGGCCGGATCACGGGCACGGTGAATCTCCCAGCCTTTGTGGTGGGCTCTGCGGAAGCTCACCCTGCTGCTCCATGAGCGAGCACGGAGTTGAGAAAAGCCCCCCGTGCAGACTGAGCCGCCACCGCTCTGCAGCTATTGCGATTTCAGTGCTTGCCTGTGATTATTGCTTAGCAGGCACAGGTGGGCAGAGGCGAGGTCCACAGACCCCTCTGCAGCACATGCCGTGCCGGTAGGGTGTGTAATTCCAGACCACCGACTTGGAGTAATTTGCTGTACTCCAACCCCCCTTCTTCTGGGGGTGGGGCGGAGTAGTATTTTTCTTTTAGGTATGAAATTTACAGGATCTCCAATCAAATTAAAGGTGTCCCAGGGTCAACCCGTCAAACTAAATTGCAGCCTCGAGGGAATGGAAGATCCCGAGATGTTGTGGATCAAGGACGGAGCAGTGGTGCAAAGCGTAGACCAGGTGTACATTCCAGTAGATGAAGAGCACTGGATCGGCTTCCTCAGGTACAACAGATGCGGAGAAGGAAGAATATCATGGAATCTATTGCACAATTTTCTGCTGTCAGCTATAGCTATGTAACTGCGGTGACCTCTTTGTGGCAGGGTCCTCAGGTCTGCAGTTCAATGTGTGGCAAAGGCATAACTGAGAGCAGAACTGAAGCCACTGAGGGCTGAGATGGTGCACTAGAGCTGTATTGGTTTTCTGACTACCCTGGTGACAGGTGCTTTGCTAACACTTGTGATGCTTGAGACGCGACTGCAAGGTGAAAGGATATGCTCTTGCCTTGTTTGTTCATCTTGCTCTGCTGCGCAGCAGGAAGACTAAGGTCTGATGTGTAGGTTTTCTCTCTTGTACTCTTTCTGCTCTTTTTCTCTCTTGAGCTGTCAGTCTGCCTGAGGGATGAGGCTTGCTAATTGAAATGAGACTCCCAGGACTCTGTCCCCTTCCCTTCTTTGTGAAGGAGCATTTGGCACCTTAACCCATCCCCAAATTATTTTGCAAAAACTTTCCCTATATGTTTATGCCAAGTTATATCAAGCCTGCCCTGCTCAGGGGCTTAAAAACTCCCTTCTGCAGAGCAGCTCTCTGCCCTTTCTGCAGCAGAAGGTGGATGTCGGTGAGTTCTGGAAGTACCATGTTAAACGAGACCCAAAGTTCTCCTCTGGCTCTTTATCTACATATAAAGAGAGCTTGTACAAGCAAGCGTGCCATCGCTGTGAGGGCTCAAAACCATTGGCTGGCTGAGAATCACTCTTCTGTGAGCTCAGGCTTTATCTCCTCTTAGGTCTCTTGGCTTGCCATTGCATGGAGTCTCCTATTCTAGCAACTAGAAGTCTCTGTCATAGAGCTTGTCTGTAATAAATGATCTGGTAGGAAAAAAATCGGTGCCTAGCAAAACTGTTGCATAACGTTATGTTGTGGAAACAGTTTGTCTTAAATCTATACCATTTACTTCTCCCTGTTCTGCTTTGCCACTGTCAATCTGATCTCTTCTCACGTCTTATTTTTCTCCGCTGAGAACTTCCTGCAGCCCCAGGGCTAAGTTAGGGTGTTAAATCCAGATGTGTCCGTATTTCTCTTTTTCCTTTCTCCTACTAAAGTGATCATTTCTACCACCTGCTGTGTGACTCTCTGCTGCGATCTCTGTGTTTCTGAACATGCGGCTGGATAGGCAGGACAGCTGATTCCTGTTGAAGGTACAGCTCTGAAAATCAGGCTTTAGCGGGACCATTTTGTGCATTTCAGCAAATGGTCTCCCTGTTCAGTCTTCCATCTGAGAAATTCCTCCCCTTCCCCAAGATGGACTGCTAGCGTTAGAAAAGCCAGCATCAAACCTGCTGAGGATCTCTGCATGACAGCCGATGCATGGCTGTGCATCCCGGGGGAGCAATTAGCACTTGTACATTGGTGGGCACTCAGAGTCACACTGGTGCCTTTGGTAGCTGAGACCTAACAGTGGTGGAATAAGGAAGAGAATTTATCTGCTGAACCACTCAGTCCCTGTGACTGCTTTCCCTTGCTTGGGTGCACCTTCTCAGAAGGAGAGTTGTTGCTGAGCAAGGGAGAATGGTTTGTGGTGTGAGGCCCTGTGCTGGAGGCCAGCATAACCCCTTTGAAATCACCAAGCGAAAGGCCCGAGTAGTTTTGCGGTGCAAAATGCTCTTAGGATAAGAATACACTAAGCATAGTTGAAATGAGAGGGGAAGTCTTCTGACCCATTTATTCCCATATGAGGCTGTCCTATCACCTAACCAGAGCAAAACATTCGGGCTCGTTGGAAGCATGTGATTTGGAGTTTCCCACTAGCTCAGGCGCCGTAGGCTAAGCTGCCACTCTTGAAGACCAGCTAGAGTCACAACTCAGAGTCAAGGAGATGAGCAACCCCTTCCTACTCTCAAAGGACACAAATTATGGGTTTCCTGCGAGCACGTTTTGGAGGAAGGCTGTTTGCTCTGCTGAGGATTCTTTCCATCCACCCTAGAGAGGAGGCTCCTTTCTCCACTGTTTTGCTGCGTGCTTTGTGCTGGCTGGCTTTGTCTTCCTCTCTAGGGCTGGCAGCATTTCAGTGGGTTTTATCCATGCATCTGGTTTGTCAAACACTGGAGGGTCCTTTGGGGCAAAAACATGCTTAATCCACGTAAAATATCGATATGGCTTTTGACTTTTTTCAGCTTGAAATCCGTCGAGCGGACAGATTCTGGGAAGTACTGGTGCCAGGTTGAGAACGGGGGGAAGAAGGAAGAATCACAGCAAGTGTGGCTCATAGTGGAAGGTAAGGAGTAGTAGTAGTGCTGGTTTCCTTCCAGGGTTGACCCACGAATATACCGTAGGTGGAAGTGATAGGCCTCTTAGCTCTGAACCATTCCTGATAACTGCAGTGAGATCACTATAGGGCAGATAAGAAATGATAGGGGAGTGTCTTCAAGGAAAGGAGCTGTCCGTCTGTTAGCCTTCTGATTTTATTTTGGCACACTGGGAAGCAAGTGAAAGCTTATTTCATAGAATGGCTTGGGTTAGAGGGGACCTCAAAGATCATCTACTTCCAGTCCCCTTGCCATAGGCAGGGATGCCACCCACTAGACCAGGTTGGCCAAGGCCCCATCCAACCTGGCCTAGAACACCAACAGGGATGGGGCATCCACAGCTTCTCTGGGCAACCCCTTCATGCACACACATTTCCTTCCAGCCCCTCAATCCACTGTTGCTTTGGTATTCATAAAATTACGGGATGGTTTAGGTTGAAAGGGATCATCTGGTCCAACCCTCTTCTCAAGGCAGGGCTACAGCTGTTTCTATGTATTGGGCAAAGTACGGCTTTAGCATGATTTTGAGAGTTTCAGGAGCAGTGTTATACATCGGTGCCTCACAGCCATGACTGTTCGTGTTGCGCTGTTTTGCTTAGTCTTGTCTGATAAACAGGAAATTGTAGGTGGTTGTCCAAAAGTTACCCAAGGCAGAGTGGATTGATAGCTTCTCATTGTCTCTGGTTTCATTTCCCTTGACCCATGATCATTTTAGATCCTCAGAAGCTGGTAGTACTTACATGGTATAATATTTAGTGAGGCAGTTGAGAGGGACAGTGTATTTGCAGCAAGAGCTGGAATTTTGGGATGCAGTTGGTAATATTTTGGGCCCGAGCTGAATTAGTACTCTTTAAGAAGGGACACGGGTTGTGTGTCTCAGGAGGTGGTATGATTTGGGTGACATTTTTATAGCACAGGTCTCACTCATCCAGAGCCATGGAAATATTTGTAGCAGTCCTCGTGGAAGGAGGAATGCTTATCTTCTGTCTTCCATGAGTTCCAGGGTTTCATCCACCTAAAATTTCAGGTACAGTTTCACCTGGAGACCATTGTTTACAGCTTAAATTTTTCTTTTGTGCAGGTTTCTATTTCTATTCCAATACCATGGCCCACTCCAGAGGTGGCTGCATTTGCGTGTTGGGTGCATTGGAAGTGATTGGGTAGCTCAGTGTGCTAAGCAATCTGGAAAACAAAGGAGCCCTTCTGGGTAGTGCAGGCAAAAAATAACAAAGTCACAAAAAACAGCTGCAGCTAGATAAGGGGGAGTTTTGAGAATGAAGGACAAAGCTTACAACAGAACCATAAGTTAAAAATGCAACTGGTCATTTTTAAGACAAAAGCAAGTATGACAGAAGCTAGTTAAACCTGAACTGAGTGTGTAGTCGCATGAGATGGGACTCAGTGGGGAAAAAATAAAAATTAACAAGTAGTGATAAGAGGTGGATTTAAAAAAAGCTATCAGCAGTTAGTGTAAGAAAACTAGGGACTGCAAAAGCCTATCAGTCCCACCAGCACTGTTATCTCTGTATGTATTTCTTCCCTGGGTACACCAGCTTTGTCTAGAAGTTATTTGCTGCTTTTGTAGCAATTGTTCTCTTTGGCTGAGAGGGGATGTTTACCTTTGATTCCTGCAGCCCTTGGTAGGTGTTGACACCCTTCAAGTATGCCGTACAATGCAAGCATAGACTATTGGTATCGAACTCAGAGAGCTAGAATGGATTTCTTTGCTATCGAGTGTCTGTGGCTGGAGATCCAGTTAGGTAGTCTTAACAAGCAGAAGTTGTATCAATGGTATTTGAACTGTGCCTGTGATACCACTAAAATGTTTGATATTATGAAGAACTCTTCAGAATTTACCCCCCCCAAAAAAAACAGACTTTGAAACTCTGTTTTAGAAACTAGATTCTGGCCTTACCAAGAACGTGATAGTGTGTTCAGTGCCTGGAGATGTAATCCAAGAGGCACGCTGCGGAGTGTGACCATCTGAAAATAAGGATTATCTCTCTTACAGAACTTTCCCTCTGAAATTACACCCCTGGCTGTGGGGCTGGCCCTTGTTGCGGCTACAGAGTCAGCACACCAGCACAACCCACATGGACGTGTCTCCTTAACGCCGTCTGAAAACTGAGCTGTAGAAAAAGGCTGTCCCTGTGGGAAGGATATGGAACAGGGCTTGGAACAGGGAATACACAGGCTCATTTCCCTATTTTGCCACTGCTTTCCTGGCTGTTGGCAGCTCACTGCTTCCATGGTGCATCTGTGAGGTATGGGTGCTGGTACTTGCCTCTTGCACCAAGAACTAGCAGGATAAATGTGCCACAGACTGCAGGGTGTCCAGGTAACATCCTGACAGGGGCAGCGCAAGTTCCTGAGCTGGATGAATCAGCTGCACACCCTGAACTACAAGAGTTTTTAATTGTGGTCTTGTCTGATCTGGTTAGTTGCTCCCAAAGTGAGAAAACCTGCCAAGCTGGGCAGGATCCTCCTGAAAGGTTACCTCGGGTACCATGGCAAAGGGACAACAGGCAGGGATCCAGCTCACGGGTAGAAGAGACGCTGGTATTTTCCCCTTGGGCCTTCCTTAGAAAAGGAGGTCAAAGCAGGTGGAGGTGTCACAGCTGGTATTTGGAAAGTTTGTTCACTTTTACTGTTTAAGTAGGACTGCAATAAAAAAATAAAGCAAAGCATGTAAGCAGAAACCAGTGGTGAATCATGGTGGATATACCTGTCCTGAGCGGTAGCCTTTGTACAGATAGGCACTGTCATTCCTGGGTGACCTGTTTCTAGACCTATGTTAGCTTTTTTTCATTTACCTGCCACTCTAAAGGGACAAGAGGCAAGGAAGAGAGGAGGGCACAGAGAAACTGCCACCTAAAAAATGCAAACAAGTGACAAGCCCCTCAGTAAAAGACTGAGGATGCCATTTCCAGTCAGAGTGCAGGGGGAATGTCAAGCATTAGGCTCCTAAATCCATGTTTCGGCACCAGCGTTAGTTGCCTGCTTTTGGGGGTGCTCAGCACGTGCAATGCCAGCTGGAGCCACTCAGGCCTGTCATCTCTGCGGCCAAGAGCAGCGTGACTGAAGCATGTGAATGCCCAGTATCGCTGGTTCCTCTTTCTGTGAGGTGGTAGATCAGCAGTTTCCCAAACATTTTCTCCGGCTGAGGTTATCTTATTTTTGTTTTGGTGTAGACAGTCATTGGCAGCTGTGCTTGAGTTTAAAAGGAGCCCAACACTTCTCCAGGCCTTGGTTCCTCCAGCAGTTACCAGAAGTGGGTGTCAACCGGTCTGCATGGTCAGCACGGTCAGCACTGATACTGACGGCTGCTGAAACTTTGTGCAACTGGGTGGGAGCGCTGAAGCCACCAGAGGCTTGGCATTGCCTGTAAGAGGAACCACACGTTTTGATGTGCTGAGCTCCATTAACTCTTACCGGTTGAGAGAAGACCTGAGGTAGCAGCACTGCAGCTCCCTGTGGGTCTGATCCAAGGCCTGTTGCACCAAACAGGAATTTTGCCACTGCAGCAGACAAATACTTATTGAGAGAGCTGTGTCCGTGTTAGCTCTGTAACAAATTACCCCTAATTTCAGGGCAGCCTGGTTCTCTTGGTGCCGAGCATGCTGGGCGGCTGCTCCAGTCAATTAGATTGTGCAGAGAGAGTGTAAGTGATCCCTGCCTCTCACCAGGGGAATTCTTTCCTCATTCATGGGTTTGTCACAGCAGCTAGTTCAGCGTGTTTACAAAGTTCAGTTTTTAATGCATGGCAAGAAGTACCTGCAGCCGAGTTAGGTGTCCTTTAAAAGTGGTGGCAGACACGGCTACAGATATTGACTGCTTCCTCTTTAAACCCCAGTTTTTCAGCTGAAACGTCGAGCAGATTCTACTGTTCTAGGCTACTTCATAGGGGATTTTTGAAGGACACTCAGTGAAATAGTCTTTTCAAAGGCATTTTAGGAAGAAAGCACTCTTTTCTCACTGACTTGTAGTGAGAGCATGTGGCCATTCACATCCCGAGGTAATCTAGTTTATTTTGTGAAGGGCTTGGACAGAGTCAGATTAGGTATAGGGGCAGGACAGATGGGTGTCCAGTGTTGGGCACTGGTATTAGTGGTAACAAACAGAGACAGGAGGAGCCTCTCAAGTTATTATCACTTGTCTGTTGCTTTTCTAGGTGTACCCTACTTTACTGTGGAACCTGAGGATGTATCCGTGTCCCCTAATGCCCCATTTCATATGGCCTGTGCTGCTGTTGGTCCCCCTGAACCAGTGACAATTGTCTGGTGGATGGGAGACTCTAGAGTGGGGCTTCCAGACATCTCCCCCTCCATCCTAAATGTGTCAGGTAAGGCTACTGCCAATGCAGGGGATCACTTTGAGCATCAGAAGTGTGGAGAGGGAGAGCTTTTTTCTGTACGTGCCTAATGACACTGGGTAGCCACATAGTGTGGGAACAATCTTTGACTGCACCTTGAAAGCTGAGAGACCATGATCACACGTGAAGGCAGATCATCTCAAGGGGTGCTTGTAGCCCAGTGTGTTTTTTCTCTGGCTTGAGGCACGCAGGCTTCGCAGAGCTTGGGTGGGGCTGGCACCGTGGCAAAGATGCTACTGGACAGGTGATGCATTGGGTCCCTCTTTTGTTATTCCACCTCATGGGGAGTGTTTATGGCTTCAGCAAATGACTCTCTTGGTGACTTTTGGCTTAGAAACCTAAAAGCATTTGCATGTAACAGATGCCACCTCCTCCTCCCATGCACAGCCACATCCCACATTGCTTTCTGCTCTCTTCCCCTGCTCTGGTCTTGTAGGCTTGCTGGATGCTCTTATCACTAAAAGCTGACCACCTTGTCTAATTGTTTGATGCTTTTAGGCCGCTTGTATTGGTGCTAAAGTGGGCTGGTTGATATCCTCAGAGACTGAGGTTTGTCCCAGAGTGAGTGCTAGCATGTGATGGTAAGACTGCCTTCCCCCCAGCCATCAGCTGGAGACCTCAGGAGGCAGTAGGGATTTGGGCTTCTCTTCAGCCTGCTTTCAGGGAAGGGTGACATACACCTACTGGGAACTGACTGTAGCTGTTCCTGTTGTTACCTTGTAAAGGTAACAATTCTAGTTACTTCTCCAACAGCTTTGTGATATTTCTTCTCTTTGCTGCTATTATTCTCAGCAGCTGTGAGTCAAACTTGAACTAGCTAGGTTTTACGACTCAAATTCATCTCTGGGGCCTCTTCCTCAGTGTTAATACAGTTACACCCAGGGGGAGTTTCTTTCGGTAAATCTCTGGCCATTCTTCAAGCTATCCAATTCTATTAAGCCTTCCCTTTAAACCTAATTTGTATGTAAATCAAAACTCGGTTTGTGATTTGCGATGGTTTTATCATCTGCTCCCTCTCTTACGTAGCCACTGGGTGCTGTTCAAAGTTGGAAATGAAAACTGCTCCCTTATGATAGAATCTGCCAGTTGAAATGAAAACTGAAAAGATGCATAATGGAGAGGGAAAAGACGATAACAATAAAAAGTCTCCTTTCCTCCCCTGAACTCATCCCACGGTGCCTCACAAAACTTTTGTCATTGTAGAGCAGTGATGTGGGGGCCTGAAGAAGGGCAGCTGCTCCTAGCGACTCTACAAATAGACTGGTATTATATATTTTCCTCACCAGCACCTTTGTTTGTCCTTTTCTCTTCCACTCCAGATAGACAGGAGCCCTTGTTGGTTAGGGATAATATTGTTCTGAGAATTAAGCTGGGTTGTGTGCAGCTGTTTGTTAGTGACAAGAGGACCTGTGCCTCTCTTGTACACGGCTTCAGCAGGTGCTGGGGGAGCTGAGATGCTCAACCCTGTCTTGCAGGAGAGCGCTCAGCTTTAATGCACTCAGGTGCTGGCATTTCATTTTATTTAATCAGGGGGAAGAACACAAAATTAATAGTTTTCTAGCATGGAAACTCATTTCTGGATAACTTAGAAATTTAACTCCGTAGTGCTCTTTGGGATATTCCTTGGGTGGGTCTCGCAATAGAGAACATGAGCTGCATGGTCAGATTGCCAAGGCATGTTAAACAATATGGTTGGTCAGGCATTGCTAGCTAAAGAAAGTATCAAATCCTGAAGAAAATGGTAAAGTAGTAGCCAGAAAGCAAACCTTTGTTCAGCAAGCAGTCAGTTTGGTAAAAGGGCTATTGTGCTTGGAAAGCAGTGCTGACAATAGTGCTGGACAGCAAAGGGGTCTTGGTTTGTGGTGTACTTCACATTTTCCTCAGGACAGGACTGTGTTTGCTTCTATCTTTTGGGAGCGCCTCATGTGTCAGGCGCTCCTCTGCTCTGCTGCCTGCTGTCAGAGTTTTCCTCTGGTTCACTGGGGTGAGTGGATGGAGCCAAAACATTTTACTCTTCCTTTTTATGGCAGTCCCTCCTCTCCTTCAGTACACCTTCTTTGCAGTGCAGTCAATTGCAGGCTCCTGGAATATGAATTGAAAGGCAAAGATGGACACTGTGCAAGCTGCTTTGTGCAGTTCTGGGACACCTTTTGCCTCCTAGACTGCATGCCCATAGTGGGCCAACCCTTAACTTTTATCAGATAGAGCCCTATAAGGCAGCAGAGTGAAATCAGATGCTGGCTACACCTCTCCAGGCAGCTTTGCAAATGTGTCCAAGTCATGATTTATTAACAATGCCAATGCACACCTTGGAGCAGCAGGGCATCAGTATGAAGCCATATTCAGGCCCTTCAGATGGACAGATGCTCACAAAAGTGAGGGTGCATAGTTGTCCCTTGTATTGAGTCACACCTGGAGAGTGCCTCAATGTAGGTGTAGTAGCATTTTGCTTTCATCTCCTTTGCTTGTCTCCAAAAGTTGGATGAAAGGTGAGGGACAGATGGGCATTAGCTCCAAGTCTGCAGCATTTGGTTGGAAGTCTGCTTGGGCTCCCAGCCCAGTTAGCAGGTGGCTGTGCTTCAGGTTGCAGAGGTGCTCAGGTGGCAAGCTGAGCTGCAGGGTGCTGATGGGTTGTACAAACCTGTGGTTCTGCACCATCCTTGCTCCAAGGAAGCTTGCCAGCATGCGAGAAAAGGACATCTCCGAACTGAGTGCTGTGATCTGCTGTTCTGCCAGGTTCATCCTTCTTTTTCAGTGCTTTCTCAAGCTCCAAGGGAAGCTCTTCTACATTGCCACACACTCTCCATTAAAAATGTGGTTGGCACATTAATTACATTGAAATCCACGTGCCTTTGATTGGCACCCAGCTCAGCCCTCCAACTGCCTGTGCAGCATGAGCTGGATGTCACGCAATTGAAATTCTGCCGACGGTTGGAGCTGGATTATATAGCTGTTTGTGTTTCCTTTCCTTTTCTTGGCCAACCTCCAGGTATTAATCAAAGCACAGTGTTCTCCTGCGAAGCTCACAACGTAAAGGGATTGTCTTCATCTCGGACAGCCACTGTTCAAATTAAAGGTGAGAGAATGGGCACGGGAGATGGGTTTGCTCTGTGGGGAGGGAAGGAAGGGCTCCCTAATGCAAGGGGCCGTCTCGAAGCTGCCAGCAAGCAGCGCTGGCTGGAGCTGCCAGCAGCTGAAATAATGCTTTGTGCTCTTCTGGCAACTCCTGCTTGCTGTGCGGGGCTGTATCCCAGGCTGCTGGAAATAAAACGCATCTGATACAGGAATGGAAACATGATGTCAAATAGCAGTTTCTCCTTGAAATGTAGAGAGTTGGAGCACTCAAATTGTTCATGAGAGATGTAGCTGGATATCATCTAAACTAAAGCTGGGGAAATCTTTCCTGCTTGGAGATGGATGGGTCTTGTTAGAGCTAAAGAGCCCATTATTTCTGCTCGCTTCTGTTGGCGTCACATTAGATGCTGAAAAAAGGAAAGGAAGGCAATCACCAGTGGCTAGTAAAACCTATTCATCTACACTGTCCTTTATGGATTTTGTTTTTTTTTGTTCTTTCCCCTTTCGAAACTTGTTCAAAACAAATAATCCCTAGCACTTGCATGGGCAGCTGCCGTTTGGAGTCCCTAAGCTGCTGCCACATTTCTTCTGTGCATCCAGGTGACTGAAACAGGGGGGTACTCAGAGCAGTCAGCTCTTCCCCTCCTCTACATGTTGGGATGCTTCTGCATTTGAATTTTTAGTCGTGCTTTAGTGCGCATTAAATGATATAATTATCAGTTCCAGGAAAGAGACTTGTCACAAAAATAATTTGTTCCAAGCAGTAGCTTATTGCTCAGCCTGAATAAGAGCAAACATTTATGTCTATATCAAATTCAGAATTGTATTAGCTAGTAAAAGGTATAGCTTAAAACCCAGCTGTAGATCTACCATTCCTACGGTGTGTTTTTCTTCAGGACAAATGTTGTGGTTACTGCTATGCCAAGAATGCAGTGTGCTGGACTAGTAAGATTTACAACTTAATTTAAAAACATTTGGAGTTATTGCCTTAAAGGCTTGTCTACGCAGGGGAATTAGTTATTGTGGAATATATCTTGTATGGATATTTTTATCCTGGGATAGAGTTTAGTTCGCAAAGCTATTAAGCTTTAAAAATTGCATAAAGCCATAATTTGAGATAATGTTTGGCATGAACAAGCTTTTTTTTTCTTCTTTTTTGATGTTAACACATTTTTAATCATTAATAAGATGACAGGATAAAGGCCTCGCAGTTCTCGTATTTCCCAGCAATTACATTTTGCCAAAAGTCCTCCAAATGCTTCAGGGGCAATCTGTCAGGTAATGAATCCACACAACCTGTCTGTGAAGGACATACCACCAGCATACGCCTCTGTGTGCGCACACGCTTTTGAGCTGAGGAAAGTGAATTTAAGTGATTTGGCAGACGTTTCACCAGTATGTGACATCTTCTGTAGATATAAAAACAGCTTTTAAATGTTGAGTCCAGAGCAGTAGTCCTATTGGTTCGAACTGTACTACCTCAAAGATATGTTTTAAAAATTAGTTATGAGCTTAGGGAAGCGATGAGGTTCTTTTAAATAGAAAAAAAAAAAAAAGCTTTTAAGATCCAGTACAACCTCTGTCAAAGCTGAGGCAAAGCTTCCCAGTAAGAGCATCAGCAGGAACAGGAGCAGACGGTGATAATGTTCATTTAGTCCTTGATCCTATAGACGTGGAATTGAATGAAATGACTCCTGGGAGCAGTTGTCTGTACGTGCGTGGTCAGGGCCTTCCTCTCTTGCACAGATCCATCTGCTAATGAGGAGACTAAAGTCTTTCTACAATTTATTAAACAATTTGTTTCTTCTGTGTTTTCAGAGGCAAATGTTTTTGCTAGGACATTTACAAACTGTTAGCATTTCTTCTTCTTTGCTGCTGTTGTTGTTCATTATCTATTCTCTGTAGCGCCCACAATGTGCTGGGTGTACTCCAAGCAGAAAATTACTGTTATTGTAGCCCACAGTCCCCAGCGGTGTACAAAGCCCCATTGTTCCAGGCACTCTGCAAACACAGAGGAAGTTAACTCACGTTATCTTAACACTTAAGCTGCTGTTTTCAGACTGGCTTTGCTCTCCTTTTCTTCGTGTGTGCAGCTGAGACTTTGTGGGTCACATCCTGTGTTTCACAGCACAGCAGAAACCACAGCCACTCTGTTTTTTTTTCCAGCATGTGATGGGGAAGTGCATCCATCCCTCCTGCCTATTGCAGAAATAGGGGAAGGTGCTAGTCTCTTCCATGGCTGTCTCCATCGCTGCTTGGATGTCATAGCAGCTGATTATTCTCACTGGTGTTACAGCCCATGCCTCCTTTGGGTATGCAATCCAGTGTTGAAAATAACATCGCTGAACCCAAAAGTTATGGGAACGTTAGCTAAATAAAGACTTCAGGGCAACGTTTGGGTGATATCCAAGCAAGCAAAAAACAGCCTTCTTTTCTCCTCAAAGAGCTTATGAACCTGAATGTCCAAGATCAAAAGGGAGAGAAACCAAGACATGGAAGAATCTAAGGTAACTCACAAAGAATTCATTGCCCATCTTATGTCCCAGCCCCGTGCTCTGCCACCCCACGTGTGCATGCACACCTGCGTGTGCACTGTTCTTGCCTGGGTGGCAGCCCCCTGCCCTTGGATCCTAGTAACTAGTTACTGGTCTGCAAAGGCTTTATAGGGTTAGTCTGTGGCATCTTCTATTCCCTGCCCCATCCCCTCCTCGAGGCTCTTTGGAGGCCTGGGAGTGGGCTTGGGTCTAAGCATTTCTCCTGTGAGGTGGCCCCATGTGGAGGAGATGCTGAGGCTGTTCTCAGCATGGTGAGAGATGGAAGAGCTCTCTGGCAGAGTAGGAGCTGCAGCTGGAGGAGTCCTGGTTTGCAATTACTTTTCCACTTCTTCTTTTCACTGAATATAACCCAGGAGAGGTGGAAAATTTGGTCTTTATGTAGAACCTTGTCCTGAGTCCCCTTGGGTTTTTGAAAGAGGACTCCTGAAGGTACAATTTGTTGAGGAGGGATAGAAAAGAATTTCTCAGTACAGCAGCTGTGATTTTAAGAGAGGCTCAAAAGGTCGGAGGAGAGGTTGGTGTCTATGAAACTGGTAGTTTTTCAGGAGTGAGACACTTAAATTAAAACAGACTCAGGAGTGAAAAAGAGATGATGAGGGATATATCAGGAAGAATATGAAGTAACTGTGTGAAATTACACTGGGAGAAAAAGAGAAGGCAAATGGAAGTATTGAGCATTATAAAAGGGAGCTGATGAGCTTTTGTTGATGCAAGTAAATCCTAGAGGCCCCTGCACTGATGGAGGTGTCTGGCCAGAGTGAGCAGAAGAGCCGTGCTCTGGTGCTGCTGTGTGATGGTAGGGAGCACAAACATCTGATTAAATCCCTGTCTGAAAACCCTGATTTCGTTCCTGGCTCAGCCATTAATTGGTAGTGTGGTGCCAGCCACATGATGCGCGCTCCCTTTGCCTCAAAGTGCCTCTCTGTCAAACAGAGTGCCGCTGAGTGTATTAACTCCGAGGCTGGAGGAGCATGGTTCTCCATCCAGGCCCTGTCCCTGGGCACAGCAGAAGGCTCAGTGGCAGGCACCTGGAGGCGGCACTGTCACAGCACCAAGCAGGCTGCTGCAACCCCGACTGTGGGGTATTGGGGTCATGCAGCAACACACCCTTCTGCTGCTGCTGGCAGAGCTGGTTTGGGGCTGGACTGAGAGCTGGGGGAGGGATTTTCAAGGCCTGATTTGGGTCACAATGCAAGTCCACAGGCAGTTGTGTAATCAGGGCTGGGTCATGTTTTGCAATGGAGGGGGCAGGGGAGAGGGCCGCATAGTGCAGGTGTGAGTATCACCCACTGGTGCTGCCATCAAAGAGGTCAACCGCTGCTTCTGTGCATCGAGCAAGGGTGCTGGACTATTAAAGAATGGATGAGAATAGCCTGTTCAATGCTAAGATAATAGATTCATTCACAACACTCAGCGATGCTCTAAAGATGTGATATTGTACCGTTTCTGCCAGCAATTTCATTGCATAATTTCTAGCCTCAAGCCTCTGCGCATTTCCATGTGAATACCTGCTCAGTTCTGTGTATGCTGAAAAGTGCCTTTGTTTCCTTCACAGCCATGCCTCTCCCGCCTCTCAATGTGACTGTGAGCCAAGTCACCAGCAGCAACGCCAGCGTGGTCTGGGTGCCGGGGTTTGATGGCCGTGCTCCTCTCCACTCTTGCACTCTTCAGGTACGGCCTCTCTGCACCGTCCCCTCTGAGTTTTGTCCCTGCCCTGTGGAAGAGTGGGACTCCTCGGAGCCACCTCCCCGAGGAGCTTGCAGGGCATGGGATGGTACAGGAAAAGAGGCAGATGGGGGAGGCAGGTGACAGGCTGGGCTTTTTTAGACAAAGCCAGGCATGGTTTAGAGTACTATTAAGCACTACCTCTTATTCTTGATTAGCCTGTTGTCAAAGACCACTTCTGCCAAGGAAATCAAGGGTACTGTTATCAGTGAGCTCCAGCTGGTGCTCAGTGCTCAAGACCTATTTAAAATGGGACCACACCTGTTAGCTTCATGGAAACAATGGTACGAGGCTAACTTTGGGCAAAGTTAGTTATGCAGGTAACTGTAAAATCAGATCAAACAGTAACTGAGTGGGCGAGAGAAGTGGTGGTTTCTCAAGAAAGTGTGCAAACACAGCTAGGCACGTTCCCCATGGGTTTATCTGTCAATATAAAGGGTGGGCCCCTTTGCTTTCCCCACCTGACTGCAGCAGTAATACGAGCCGGAAAGGAATTTCTGTGGGGTGTTGCCAAGTATGTAGAGGAGGAAGGATTTACAAACACAAGGTATGCTGGAAGCAGCCTGGCTAATTTCCTTACTTACAGTCAGTCCTCTTTCATTTGGGGAGGTGGAGAGGAAACCAGAGATTTCGTGCTCTGATGTTAAGTAAAAGAAACCATCCTTCTGATTTAACTCCCTGGCAGAAAGAATGCTTGAATATAGCTGGCCCCTGTCTCTGGTTTTTGTTGCTGCTTCTGTTCTTGTTCACAGCTGAAAATGGCTTTCTTCCTCTCTTTTACAATGCTGATTTAGCTCCAATTGGAACAGCCTATTCCCTCTGGTTTGCATGCTCATCAGCTTCAGCAGTGCTAATCACCCCGGGTTTTGAGTTCCTCCTTGCACTTTTGGCAGGGGTGTGAGGGGACAAGGACATATGGAAAAGAGGCTGAATCAGAGCAGCTTGGTTTCTGTCCACTCAGCAGTCTCCCGCCCTCCGCTAAGCCTTGCAGACTTTTCCTGTTCTTCTGAGGACAAAGTCGCTGCATCTGGATCTGGGAGCAGGTTAACTTGGTGGTCGTTCTCTGCTGACAGAAAGCTGCCGTCCCTCTAAGGGTCTTCGGGGGCAGAAATGCCACAGTTCATCTTCCCTCCCTCTCCCATGGCTCTGATTTTGTGAGAGCTGCTGACCCACATTTCCATGTGAAAATGCACACGCTCCTGGCTCCCAGTGAGGGAGCGATTGTCCTTCTGCTGGGAACCTTGTGGGGAGGGGAGGGGGCAGGGCGGGCAAGACTTGGCCCTGGTTTTCTGGCACTCTGACGTTGCAGCGGGTGCCCTGAGAGCACCCTGTTCAGACAGGCAGATTGCTTCTGGAGGGATGGGGCAGGAAACAGACGTACTCACACACTGTTAACACAAGCCGTGCTCCAGGGAATAAAGGGGGCAGATGCAAGACCCCCTGCTCTTCCGACTAGAGAACAGAAACACATCATCAGCACGACAGGGTTTTGCACAAAGGTCTGATTGTTTTTCCCGTGCTTTGGAGGACACTGATAATGACAACAATATGCATTTCTATTAAGGAAACGTGAGAACCATTCTTTTTATCAGCCAAATAAAACAGTGGGCCAAAAGTGTGTTTAGGAATAAGTGGAAGGGCAGGGAGGAAAAACTGCTATAATCTCAGAGAATGAAAAGTCCCCATGAGTGTTTTAGTTTCATCAGTGTATCTTGCTTTTACTCCTAGCTTGCTGTTTTGTATGCACTTGAGAAGACAAGCTGAGCCTAGGAGCTGTGCAGAGATTTCTGCTATTGTCAGTACAAAAGCAAGTGGGAGCATTGAACCTGTCTGTGCATTAAAAGCATACTGATACCAGATTTAAATTAACACCCGTGTTGCTTAGAAGTTCTGAACCTGGGGGAGTGGGGAAGAGAGGGGCTTCAGGAGTGATAAAATTCATTGTTTGATTAGAAATAGTTCAGCTGAACCAAGCCAGTAGTGTCTGCCATGTCTCTAATCAATGACAAGACTGAAAATCTACAGACTTCTGAAAAAGGACTCGAGGAAGAAGTGACACGAGGCAACAGGGAAGTTGATTAACAGTTTTCATTGCCCAAACTTAGACGAGGCTCAGAAGCAAGCTGCTGGCACTCAAAGCAACAAGCGCATTTAGTTTTCTCTAAAGGAAATAAAATTCTGTGGTTGATTATAATTTTAACATAGGAAATGAATTAAAATGTGGAATTGCTAGTGGAAAAACACTATGTTGCTACAGCTAGGAGTGATGTTACTTAACCAAATAAAGGCATGGCTCATGATTCTTATTTGACAGCTCCCTTTCCAGTATTTTGAATGTTGCTGATACCATATCTGTATCCCTATGGAACTGTTTTTCATATGCTTATGGTAACAGACTGCTCTGTTTCATGCTTGGCACAGGTAGCTGAGTCACCAGATGGCCAGGAGGTTTCCACTGAAGTTGCCCCCGTGCCTCCCTTTGCCTATGGTGTGCAAGGTCTGAAGCACTCCACCAACTACAGCGTTCGCGTGCAGTGCAGCAATGAGATGGGCAGCTCTCCTTTCACAGACAGGGTTTACTTCCAGACCCTGGAGCTTGGTAAGCATATAGCAGCCAAGTTCTGAAGATAGTTCTCAAATCGAAAAGGAGAAGAGGATAAACTTGACTGAAGTCCTTGCTAATTCCAAAATGCAAGGGAGGTTATGCCATCAGATTTCTTTTCTGCTCTAAGGGCCTCTTAACATAAAATAGTAATACATAGTCAAATGTGTTTAACAGCTATGATATGTGAGAAACAAGTTGATTCAGCCACAGGGCACCTGCATGCTGGGAATGTGTCCCACTGGCTCCCCGAGGTCCTTGGGGTTTCAGAGAAAAACAAGAGACAGTGACTAACCTTATCTTCTCCACTTGAAGCCACCATAGTGCTTGGTGGCGTACAGAAATGGTTTCACTCCTCACGTGCTCTCTTCTGACTGATCTCAGGAAAGAGGGTGAAGCTGTCTTGTCAGAGACTTTTTCAGTGTGGATAGTGCCTGAATTTCCTGCACAGTGACTGTATTCTCTCCTCTGCCTTCAGCTCCAAGCAGCACCCCACAAAATATACATGTTATCCAAAGAGATCCTGGTTTGGTTTTGGAGTGGGAAGGTGTGGCTCCAGATGTGCTAAAAGAAAATGTCCTGGGATACAGGCTGGAGTGGATTCAGGATAACATCACTCAGGTAACAGATCCAGAGGGGAGCTGAGCCATTGGGCACAGAGTTGGAGAATGGTCAGATTGCATTTTCTGGACACTAGGGTGCCTCATCCCTTATCCAGACCAGAATATTTTGCTGTCATTGCTTTTCTATAAACAGATCTATTCTGTTTTGTAGCAATTGATACTCAGACCTTAATATTTGGGACATGTTAGTGCAACATTCCTTTGCTTGAATGCTTGTATGTACACAGATCACTTCCCTGCTTCTCCTTGTAGAACAAGAACAACTGTGAGGGGATTTGGTTCATCTCTGCCTCTTCCTAGTTCTGTCCCAAAAGCAGCTCAGACAGTGCAGGATCTCTGTCCTGTGACTGGACTTGGTTTTTCAAATCCTAGCAGCAAAGGTGTACTTAACAAATGGATGAGTTGTACTGTAAATTACAAAAAGAAGGTTGCAGGTTCATTTACAAGGTGTAGAGAGTTGAAAGGACCCTGTCAGGGTAGAAGGCCTTTCATTTGATTCTCAGCGTTGACCTTTCCCAGGTATCTGCCTTTGAAGTTCACAGCATTTCTTACGGTTTCTTGTTTCTTAATATGCATTTCACCAGCACCATTAATGATGAGTAAGCCTGTAATAACAGAGAGCTAGAGGGAAAAGAGACTTATTTCCTTTTTTATGATCCATTTCATGCTAGGTCAGTGTCACTGGCTTTCTAAGTAGTAATATTGTGAATCCCCATTTAATTTACATTGTGTAAGCAGTGGCAGCCAAGTCTTTGTGTCTTTACTGCAAATGATCTGTAAGAAGATCCCCAAAACTGCTGCAAATATGTTGGCCTTGTCTTCCTAAGTGAAAACTGGCCATAAAATTTAGTTGCAATTTGGGATTTGGTTAACAAGGCAAACCAGAAAAAAAAAACTCCTCTGAGTTAAAATTGTCAGATGCTTTGCAGCGTGATAGTGCATCTTTGTGTCTAAAACAGATGAAAGATTTTGTCTTTTAACAGGAGAAAATAACATTTCTATGGCAACTTTCATAGAAAGATCTCAAAGAAGAGAATCATTAAACCTGCTGTCTTTCTTACATCCTGGGAAGCTGTTAGCGTTTTTTGAGAAGAGAAACCCAAGATGATACCCTAAGTTAGAGGCAAAACTGAGACTGGAACAGAGGAATCACAGCTCCCAACCGCTCCCAACCCTTGTGCATTGGTGCTGCACAGTAGTGATTTGTTTTGAAGGTGACATTTTAGATGTTTTAGCTCCCTTTTCAGGCAGCTTACAGCTCGTTACTGTTTGCTCTCAAGGGGGAGATGATCGTGCAGGACACAAAAGCGAACCTCACAACGTGGAACCCTCTCAAAGACCTGATCATCAGGGTGTGTGTGCTGAACTCTGCCGGCTGCGGGCCATGGAGTGACTTCTTCCTGCTCGAAGCCCAGGAGGTCATGGGTGAGTGTCCTCTGCACCCCTTTGCGTGGGAGGAGAGAAGTGACTGGGACCGCTGTGACCTCTCTGACACCTGTCCTTTTGGTGCTCATGGCTGGCTGAGCCATGTGACTTCGTACCACAGCACATTTTGGAATGGAATTGAATAACATTTAAGGAGCAGGTATAAGCAAAACGGCTTCTGGCTACTGCTCTGTCTCTTTTAAAGGCAGGGCACGGGGAGTCACAATAGCGAAAGTGCAAATCTCTTTGGTTTAATTTGAGGCCATTCCAGACTTGTTTAAATGGAGCCTGAATTAAACTATGGCTGCATAGCTTTTTTGTGGCGACTTTACTGAACGTGTTTATGTTAAACCCGCATGATGCTTAGCATGGAAAGACTGAGCTACTGATAAAAGAGGAAGGTAATGGTATAGCAGCCACGCTGGATGGCCTGGGCCCTGTGCAAAGGGTGTGTTGGGAGCAAAGAGCATGCAAGATGCAAGCGCAGAGTGCGTTCCTAGTGGTAAAGGGCAGGTTGGCTCATCACTGCTGATTTGCTTGTCACTTGCATTTCGCAGTGAGTGAGAAATAGGAGTCAGGCTATGGAGAAGGGCAGGACAGTGTGCAGGAGAGACACGTTGTGTTCTGTTTCCAGCTCCTGTTGTAGGCCAAGACATCGGTCTGTAATCTCTGGTGCTGACCCACGTGCTGCTGCTTTCTTCCCAACCCATGTATCTTTTGGGCAATCACATGGACATGGATCCCTCTGGGCAGAGGAACGGGAGGGGGAACTGGAGTGGGGCTCCTAGGCAGGCAAGAGCTGAGGGAGCGGGGCAGAGTAGCTAGGGGAGGAGAACTGCAGCCCCACTTGATGCTGGCTTTAAGGTGCAGGTTATTCAGAGGCCCCTTGGCAGCCCGGTTCTCATGATGAAGGAAGTACTCAAGGGTGTGTGTAAACACACTCACTGTAGAATTCGATTATTGAATTATTCAAAGCAGAATGAATGGGTGCAGAGGTTGGCTCTACTAGAGGTTAGGCATCTGCTCCATCATGTTTCTTCTGCTGTTGTCTTCTGTGGCAGCCAAATACAGAGAAAAGTACCTGAAAGGACTAGAAAATCCCTCCAGAAAATACCCAGCACCGGCAAGAAACCCCAGGGAATGTACAGGATTTGCATTTTACATGAGGCTGGAATGGGATAATCCTGAAAGCCTAAATGTTTGCTTGTTTTTATTTACCAAACCACTTCAAAAAAAAAAAAAAAAAGTAGCGTCAGGAGTGGTGCATGTTTTGGCCAAGTGCTGTCTGAAAACGCATAATTTGTTCACAAGCATAACAGCCTGGAAATAAAGGTTCACTGTGGAAAAGCTGACAGGCCGTTTAAACGGCAGAGCTGCAGAAAGACTGCAGTTTTGTTTCAGGCCTGGTAGAAAATATAAGTTGCTTCCTTTCCTAAAATAGCAAGCCTGGCACTGGTTGCTTTCTGTGAGAAATGCCAGGGGTGGTTTCTGACCAGCTCCCAGTGCGGCAGTAGGGATGACTAAGCTTGTATAAACTTTAAGGCGTATTTGTCATCACAGCGAGCTAGTAGGAGCTCCACCCTGCCTATGCAGAGATCTTGTGCACTATTAACAAAGGTTGTTTTAATATGTTCAGAAGCATCCTCTGTAGAAACCTGTTTCATTGCGGCGATGAATAGGGTGGTCTAATAGCGTTTTTTTTCTCTCTGTAATCTTCATGATGATAAGCAGGAGAGGTCTCCTGGATTGTTTTTTTTTTTGTACACCTTTGCAATAAAAGACCTACTACAGAAATAAAAAGCGTTCTTATCATCAAAGGGCTCCTAAACACTCATTTAAGCTCATCTGGCACTAGCATCTTCTGTCTGCCTTGTGCAGTTGTAAGGCATATGCTGCTTGGAAGAGGGGAGAGCAGGAGCTTTGAGAGCGGCAGAGCTGGGGGAGGAGAGGCAGCTTGATCTTCTCTTGGGCTGCAGCCATCCTCCTTAGCTCAGTGGCAAGAGTGGGAAGCCAAGATCTGTGGGGCAGAGCAGGAGAAACAGTGAATTTCAACTCTCATCTCTTTCTGACATGTTTGCTGTAAACTGTGGGATAGGCTCCTGACTCCTGGCAGTTCAGAAACAAGGAGTCGCTTTGTGTTTTGTTTTCAGCTGTCTTCCTTCTGGAGAAACCCCCCTTAAAGTGACCTAAGTCCTGCTCTCTACAAGGCCAGATCAGGCAGAGTAGACAAACAGTCAGAGAGAGACTTGTATCACTGTGGGTGCAAGGAAACCTTATTGTTAGCTGTCAGAGAGGACCTTTTACCTCAGTGTTGTTACCTGTTCCTCCCCTGATTGTGTGGCAGGAACAGCCTGAGTGATTGGCTTGGGAGTTGTGGAGAGGGATGGAGTCACCTTGCATTGTATTTTAGTTGCAGTTCTGTTTCTGATCCCTCTCCCTCCTCATTAGCAGCTTTGAAGGCCAGGTCAAAAGGAGCAGCAAAAAAGGGGCATCATAAAACTCAGTCCATAAAACCTTCTGGGTGGGAAGAGAACATGAGAGTCTCTGAAAAAGATAAGATGCTGATGAATAGGTGCTAAAGCTCTGATAATGTTTTGTAAGAGGAGAATTCTCTAGAGCTCTGTTTCCTTAAGCCCTGTATGTTTATTAGGCTAACAGTGTTTCCTTGAAAACTTGGATGATAAGGCTTGACAATGCAACTAGTAAACGAGCTGCAGAACCCCTTTGCTTGCCAGGGCTCTGCCTGTAAGAATGTCTCACGCCTTTTCACATAGAGATTCATCCCAATCTCAGCCCATTACCCTACCATCTCTTTTAAGGACAGATTTACTTACACTCCCATGGCATATAACATAATAGGATTGTTTTCACCATCTTAGAAGCCTTGGCTTCTGGTAAAGCACAGTCACCTGTTGAAGATGTGCAAGGGAGCAAGATGAAAAGTGCTTAGGGATCTGTTACCTGTACTTATTTGTTCTTAAACAATTAGAAGATATGAGGGCTATTCTAGATTTTAATAAACCTATTCAAATTGGCGTTTAATCTTCAGCAATTGTATTTGGAGAATAAATCTCTCAGGGAATTGGATTAATTTATCTGCTGTTTGCCAAGCATAGATAATATTCTTCTCTTCATAACCATACTGGTGCAGAATCTTCCTTCACCGGTAGCTTACTCAGATTGGCAGCATGTCCATGTCTTCTGTGGAGGAGAGTTTGTAGGCAAAAATATGCATAATCTGAAAGCAAATACTGGACCAGAATTATAACCTGCGTGCTGGGTAACTTCTTTCTTGACTTACAGGAAACTTTTTTTTATTATTATTCTACTTCTCTTTGGCAGAGAGACATTGAGAAGTTAAAACCAACAAACGACACTGGGAGATTACAGCCAGTACCAAGTCCCACAAGATGCTTCTCTTTGTGGGAGGGGAGATGTAGATGGCCTTAACCAGATTGCCACAAGGAGCTATTGTCTTTCAAAATGTTATCTGGATGGCTTTCGGGCAGTACTATGTAGCCTAGTCAAGCCTCTGCTGGCTGCCACCAACAGGACAAAGTGAAACTTGTATGCAAAATCCTCTTACTAAGTAAGGGTTTTACCATGAGACTCCAGTTTAAAGTGCCCCAGATTATGATGTCATATAAAGTAGTATAATCTGGAGCATTGCCTCTTACTTTCTAAGTGCTTCAAGCTAAGAATGGGGTCTGATAACTGGATGTGTTTGCACTGCCTTTGCTGTGTCAGACAGCTGGAGTAGTTGTTTATGCCACGTTCCAGTGCATGATGTTACCCTGTGTAGATCAAACTCAGCAAGATGATTTTTCCATTTAAAAACAAAAAGATTATATATCCCGATATGGTTCTGATTACCATTGACATTCTTCTGTTTGCTGACTGGTGTTTTCTCCGTCATCTAGGTGGCCAGAGACAACCTCCTTATGGGACATCCTGGGTTCCTGTGGCATTGGGCATTCTCACAGCTCTGGTCACAGCTGTTGCCCTGGCTCTTATTCTGCTTCGGAAAAGAAGGAAGGAAACACGGTTTGGGTAAGGAAAGTTCTCCTTGTGCTGCTTAGAGACATCTTTGCTTTTTCCTCCAGCGTGGTTTCGGACTGATTATTTTGCAAAAACATTTGTGGTTTGAGTACAATCATGCATACTGTCTATCACACCCTTTTCTGCCTTCTAGCCATGCCTTTGGCAGTGTGGTTGGCCGAGGGGATCCAGCAGTCCATTTCAGAGCTGCCAGGTCTTTCAACAGGGAGGGCCCAGAGCTCATTGAAGCAACGTGTAAGTAACGTGACCTGAATGATTCTATGTGAGAAATTGCATTCATGCATATACTGTGCTCTGTGTTTTCCCTGAACCTGATGTTTTTGGATCAAGAATATGGGAAATAATATACAATGATGCTTAGGTAGTCTGTGGATGATAGCAAAAGTGAAAGGCCAGAGTTGCTGTTACCATACCAGTTACGTAGCATCATTTACTTGCCACTTAAATTCACGATGACTGAAACTGTATGCCTTACACTAAAATGCATCACTCTTCTGCCCCAGTTCTACACTACAGGGACTCTTTTAACTGTAATATAATGTAACAGTGAAATGAGTATGGCTTAACAATATTAGCAGTATGCTTTAGCTCAGTTTTCTATAAGCATGAACCAACTGATCAGTCCTGGGAGGCCGGGAACTGGTAACTTCTCAAACAGCAGATTGAGTCCCAGGAATGGCCAGAGTTCAGATGGTTCGTTTCTGTCTTCTGATTCAGCCTGGGCACAGCTCTCTGAACAGCTGGGTTAGGATGATGCTCCAGCTGTCTTTGACTTTGCTCCCAAAGATTTAGAGATCTTTCCATTAATCTAGTGAACATAAAGTGTTGGACGTTGTTACCCATTCAGCCAGGTATTGTGAGACTGGTACTGTTCTTAAAATAGTCTGTGCGCCAGTCAGACTATTGAAAATAGGTGCAGCTCCATCAATTTAAATGAAGTTGGATGACCTGGTGTCCATCCAGTGTCCCTTCTGATTGCATTCTGTACTCTCAGCTATTTGCAATAGTTCCAATCAGATTGGAGATGATATTAGAATAGGTGACTCTTGATGTTGTGACAGAACATTTAAGTACCCATGATTTGACCCTTCCTTTGTTTTCTTTTAGTGGAGAGTGTGGGGATCAGTGATGAGCTGAAGACAAAACTCAAAGATGTCCTAATCCAGGAACAGCAGTTCACCTTGGGAAGGATGTTAGGCAAGGGTAAGAACCAAAATCTGAATAAGAATTTACATTAGAAGTCCACGTGTGTTGCCTTTACTGCTGAGCACGGAGAAGCAATTACAAGCAACTGGTTTTCTGTTCTTCTGTATGTATCTGGCAATTTAAGTGACACTTTGTTCCACTGGGGTAAAAGATTTCAAAAGTTTTGAGTGACTGAGGGAATATTAGCTAAGCCATACCTATAATACAGCTCTACAGAGTCACAAAATGTTCAGCTTTCCAAAGTACTGTTGATTCACTGGGGTGTGAATTTCTTTCAGAGGTTTAAACAAAGGAATGTTCACTTAAGCTTCTCTCCTTTCTCCTTACAAAGGGATGATACGAAATTCCTTCCATACCAGCATACATTCAAATATAATAAGACAATACAGAGACAGATGATGTACCACAGGCACCACAATGCCTCACAAATACATTGATTCAATTTCATGTGTTCTCAGCATGTCAGGTGGTTTGGCTCCAGATTTTGATTTGGGAATTTGGAGGCACATTTGGAACAGGTTCTGAATTTTGCTGGCATTTGTCCTCATTTAGGTTCGTGGGAACTCTTATTGTAGGTTTCCAGCTGGATCTCCCACTCAGGTGCTCTTACCATTTCTCTGAAATTTTTAGGTCAAGAGGTATGGGCAGAGTTAAAGTGGGATGCTTCTCACCTATCTTTAGCTAATAGACTGGCCCAGGAGCTCTGTAAAAAAGATGGTTTTGAGTTTAGATTTCCAAAATTGCAGGCTAGTTAGTGTACTAGTTGTTGAATCATCCTACTTTTTCAAGCCGAGGGCAATCTCTTAGGAATAAGTGGAAGTGTGTAATGATAAAGTGAATAACTAAGAGTATCATAAATCAGGGGTCATAAGCAAAAGGAAGCTGGAGTGTTTGGCTTCCTTTTTCTTTATAAGACTAGTTTTATTGAATTCACTTTAACCCTGGCCCACTGGGAGCTTTCTTCCGCTCCATCCCTCCCAGAACAAATCTGTTTCTGAAGGCTCTTTCAGAGCAGGAAGATGACCTTCCTGCAGAAGGTCAGAGGGCTGAACAATGCTAACAGTGTCAGCTCTTAGCCAGTTTCTGGGATCCTGCTTTAACCCTCCTGGGCTGTCCTCATAACAGGTAACAAAGTGGGAATTGGCTGTATTGGGGCCCTTGGTGGAAGGATGCCAGCTGGCAGGATCTGCTCAGTATTGTCAGCCCCATTCCCCCAAACTCATGCTCAGTGTGTGTGTTAGAAGAGGGCATGGCTGTGTTATTTTGGGCTCTGCTGACTCTGCAGCTGAGAAACAGTTCCAAAATACAGGAGCAATAGAAAATTGCTGTGATCCTTACCTTTTGTCCTCTTTGTGGTCTGATCCACTGCTTGTGATTATTGTGAAATAACACATGCCAGACAGTAGTCAAGGACACTTGAAAAGATAGTGGAAAGATGATGCTTTTGGGGTATGTGGCACAGTGCCATTCTTGCCTTCTTCTCATCAGTAACACATCTTGGATGGGGTAATTAGTTACCAAATTAGGGAGAGCAAATCTAGAGCCAGAATTAATGCAAAGAGGCTGTTATGCTATGGTATAAAGCCATTTCAGGGTAAAATAATCTTAAAGGGGTTTAACTAGTTGCATTTCCTGTAACCTCCCTTTGAGAACACACAAGGCTGAACTCTTCCTCCTATGAATTAGCATACCGTGTACACACAAGTAGGTGTTGTATGTTTTGTCTGGCCAGCAATGATTCATGCAAACTGTTCCCTGAATTTTGAGAGATAAGGCCTGATTGTGTCTCAACTGACTGAGTCCTGGCACCATTACTGGACTGTAAGCTCTGACAGCTGTCACCTCCAAAAATGGTCAGCACTGAGCTTCCTCAGCCAGCTCATCCACTCGTCTCTCCAGCTAATAGTCCTTTCCCTGACCAGAGTTTTGCTTAGCTGCATTTCTCATGATGTGTCTTCCCCAGAAATGCCTGCCTGGGATCCCGGTTTATGCTCTGACTCTGCGTTGTCTGCCTGGTAGAGGATTGCTTTCTTTCCCTGTTGCATTCCTTTGCTTTCTGGACTGCCAGCACAGTGGCCTCTGTCTGCTGGTAGTGCTACTTCTAGGCACGCACATGCTGAAAACTGCCGAGTGGAGCTGCAGAATGGAAAAAATGAAGCTGGTAGCTGCATTTCTTGTGCTTGCTCAGCTTCTTTGTCAGCGACCCCTGGTGTGAACCTGCTGTGAATCATACGTTCTTCAGTAGAAGCTGTTCCCTCACTACCTGCTCTGGTCATTTCACAGGGGAATTTGGGTCAGTTCGAGAGGCACTACTGAAGCTAGATGATGGCTCTTTCCAGAAAGTGGCAGTGAAGATGCTAAAAGGTAAGTGGCAGTAGGACTACCTGAAGTCCTTAAGAGAAAGAGAGCTTAAAAAGATTAAATGCTGTCTGTCCTGTTTTCCAGCAAATGTCTCCTGACGTTCTTCCTTCCTCCTCTCTGAGCTTCCCACTCAACCCCTCTACGAGTGTTTTCTCCCACTGCTTTCATTTCAGTCTCTTTGTAGTAACTCTTCCAGGAAGGACCTATGCCACCTTAGTTGATTGTACAGCATCTAACAAACAGTGATTGCAACCAAAAGCAAGTCATAGCTACAGCTTTTGTGTGCACGGGATCTTGTTCAGTTGCTTGATTCGACACAGTACTACATCATGCGGCACAGACAGCTCAGGCAGGTCTGCTTTGCAGTAATAATCCGGCAGTGAAAAACACATTTCTCCAAGCGTGTGTCCTCGAATAAACAGAAGAGTGTTGGGACTGAATGTAGGGGCAAACTAACTCACTTCAGTCAGGAGTAGGTGACAAAATAGTCTAACTGCCTTCCAATCCCTTGTTTGAGGAGTATACATAACAAGGTCAACTAACGTTCATCAGGTAGAAATGCGTGACAGCAAAAACAATTAGCACGTATAAGTGAAACAGAGTGTGTGCATTCCTATATATATGTTAACCTATGTTATTTTAGCCCTCATGCCTGTAAGGCAAAAATTAACTGTGACTGGCTGAAAGCAGAGTCACGCTTGCTTACCTTTGAAGTTGAAATTGGCTGCCACAGAATGCCAGTCTGTACTAAGTGCACTGATACCAGTTAGTGTGAGTTATATCATTTTCTCCAGTTTCAACAGTAAAATAAATCAGTTTGCAAGCAGTTTTGTGAATAGTCAAACTGTCTGTGTTCAGCCATCTAACTTGAACTCTGTATCACCTTCCAGAGGCACCTTTCTTTCTCTGTTGGCCGTAGAAAGGAAATCCACTTCTGTCTTCTGAATCATATTAAAATGCTTGCCTACAGCAAATAATGTGAATATTCTTGTGTAGGTCTGAGTCTGATCTTGCCAGCAGTGCTGGAGGGCTCCTGCTAAATTCAGCAGCACCAGTGGGGGAGGTAGACTGCTGGACTAATTCTTGATTATATTGATACAATTCCATAAATCTTGGGTAATAAGTGAGAAATGTTTTACTTCAAATTTATGCTGATGTATGTCATTGTTGAATTTAGTCTGAGCTCTCCACTACTGTGGCTATTTAAGAAATCTGAGCTCCAGCACATTAGAAGACTCACTTGTGCTAAGAGATGCGAAAGTGTGGATATTTCATGCCATCCTCATCAAAGATGAGTTGATTTCTGCCACTGTAGCTTGGGGCCATCTCCTCTGTCTTAGTGTCTTCTTTAATTCTGTGCGCCATCTCTTCTCCCTGACACTGTAATTTAGGTCTCTTTAGCTAATGTATTCTTAACATCTTTAATCCACACGTGATTTCTGAGGCTTCCAAGGAAAGTTGTTGCTGAGAAAAGAGCTGCTAATTGGCAGGTCTTTCCTGTGCCAAGAAGCAATTTACCAGATGTCCCTGATGTATGCTTACTGCATTTTGTCCCAGGAGAAAGTGTTAGGCTCTGCTTTTGTTGTAAACTGGCTCATCTAGCTGTAGGTCTGAGAGGATGTGCGAAACATCCTCTATGAAAAGCTTCTGATAATCATTATCTGCAACGTCCCTTGGAGCCACCCACTGAGGAAAAAAATTAATGATTTTTTTTTCTAGCGGACATCTTCACCTCGACTGACATCGAGGAGTTCCTGCGAGAGGCTGCGTGCATGAAGGAGTTTGACCACCCGCATGTCACCAAGCTGATCGGTAAGCCAGCAGTGCTGCTCGTGGTGTCATGGAGCACTTCCCGCTCCTGCACTATCCCACTCAGCCTCACGTGCCCACCTGTGCTGCTGTCCAACAGCAGTGGTGGTGCAGCCACCCCTGTGGTGCTGTAGGGAGCAAGCACGTGCTCCTGCCCAGGCCTAGAAGAGGTTGGAGTGGGTGTAAGTGCTCAAAACAAATGTGCAGCCCTTGTACACCTGCAATAAGAATCTCACTTAAGCCATTCCTCCCATTCTTGCAAATACTATAGGAGCACGCAAATGAGCTTAGAACCTACCCACCAAAAATGCACATCTTTTTCCTCCAGATTTGTAAGAGAAAAGCCCAGCAGCCTGTAAGATGGTCCTGATCTGTTTGCTAAAACCTCTTTTTTTTGTGTGTGTGCTCTCCAGGAGTCAGTCTACGGAGCCGTCCCAAGGGCCGTCTCCCAATTCCCATGGTGATCCTGCCCTTCATGAAGCATGGAGACCTTCACGCTTTTCTGCTGATGTCACGGATTGGGGAAAACCCTTTTGTAAGTCTTTTTTATTTAAAATTCCTTTAGGGAGGGTGTGGATGTTCAGAGAACGTGCAGATCAGTTTGGGCTTGGTCTCCCAAAGGCGTTGGTAGATGATCAGATTTTGATACCAGAGAAAGCTGTGTTTGGGATAAGATGTTGAAGTATTTAATCCCATGCACATTGAGGACCAACTTGTGCTTTCCATTCCCTCCCTGTATCCACATGTTCTGGCTTAGTAAGCTAGCAGTAAATCTTGCAGTCTTGCCATAAGTCATTGAAAGTGTCCAGGAACAGACCTCAAACTATTATTTCTTTCAGAACTTGCCTGTTCAGACGCTCCTCAAGTTCATGATTGACATTGCCAGCGGGATGGAGTACTTGAGCTCAAAAAATTTCATACACAGAGACCTTGCAGCTCGGAACTGCATGTAAGTGAACCATGAGCTTTTAGAGAATGACCAGAACGGATAATAGAGGGATGCACAACAGAAGTGGGGAGGGATCGTCTCCAGGAATGCTATGGGGGGCAATTCTTAACCTTCAACTTCCAGCTTGTCCCTATTTATAAGGACCCATCCCATCATTGGTTTGGGCATATATTTTCACTGAGTTGATTACAATATGTGTTTGTAATTAGTCATTCTAATAGCTGTGTGTCAGCATGGGCTATTTGTTCCGCCTTATAATGTAACCAACGGGAGAAAAAGGGTTTGGCTGTGTTAGGAGAAAGGAACTTTAAATATAGCCTGAAATCTCTATTCTTTGCGTCTATTTGGAGGACTTGATTTTCACAATATAAGAAATGTAGAATTTCCTGGAAAGCATGTGAAGAATGGCTAATGTGGAGAACGCCTTTAAAAATAATTGCATGGTGAACACACTGCATGATCCCACATTGCTGTTCACGTCCCCAAACTGCCTTGCCTGCTTTGAAGGGAAGAAAAGTCTGGGTTTTGTCCTTTCCTCTCTGCTTCCTCCCTGAGAATGGAGTAAGGAACAACCCATTCTGGCAGACAGAACTCTGCCTCTGAACAAAACCACCACAACCAATAAAATCAACAACAAGACACTGATTTCTAAAGGCATCTAAACGTCCAGATGTACAGACAGGAGCCTGATGGTTGTAATGAAAAATGAGGAGTTAGCCTGCTCCAACACTTGTGAGAAACCCATGCTGTTTTCCTGTTTTTAAAGAACAATAAAACAAATAGCAGACTTCCTTCAGAGGAAGCTGAATGCCTATTTCATCACATCTTGGGGAAAGCAGGAGAGTCCATTATGAAACCAAGAAGCATAATATCTTTATGGGCTTCACTTGTACTACCTTCTAAAGTGCCTAGGTTTAAGCAGGTTACGGATCAATTCAGAAAATTAGCCTGGCCTGATGAGAATGGCTTGCAGATGTAGTTCAAGCAGTTGTAATGTGCAATCTAGGCAAGCACTGTTTTTTTGATCACTTACACAGGGTACAGGTCTTACTGACAGCAATGAGCAATGCCGGTGTCATTTGTTGATCTTTGAGCCTGCAGAAAGTATCCGAGTTCACTCTGGATGACAGAGTGGATCATCTGAGCATGGCTGTTTGCTTACTTCCTTGTTCCTAATTATCTCCCTGTTAGTCTCAAGGAACTGATGTGAGACCACTCAACTATTTCACGTTGGTCATCAAATAGATGAAGTCATTATCCTTCTGGGTAATACTTGATGACTACATACCTCAGTTTCCCGGCCAGGAAATCTTGGACCTACCTCTTTTCTTGCCTGAGGTAGCCATTAAATGCTTTTCTTAGTCATTAACACTTTCCCTTAGGTTGGATGAGAACATGAATGTGAGTGTTGCAGACTTCGGGCTTTCTAAGAAAATCTACAGTGGAGACTACTACCGTCAGGGCTGTGCTTCCAAGCTGCCAGTGAAGTGGCTTGCTCTGGAAAGTCTGGCAGATAATCTGTACACAACACACAGTGATGTGGTGAGTTGCTCTGGTGTGTTTGGGGGCTGCTTGTATTTTTGCAGAAGCAGAGGAATCCAGTGTTCACGGAGGATGGGAAAACTCCCTGGTGGTGGGAAAAGGGAGTTTGTCTGGTAGCTTGTGTTGGAGGGACAGTGCCACCTCTGCATTGGGTGTTCTCAGAGCTTGGGACAAAAAATACATGAATGACTCATGTCAAGAAGAAGAAGTGAACTCTTTTCTCCTTTTCCTGTTGTCCTTTGGTCCTTCTTCATTCTTCAGTTGTTATCCCCATCCTCTCCTTCACATTTTCCCTTATCCTCCTCATTTTCTTCTCTATGGACAGTCTCTTACTCTCTCTTTTTTCTTAATTTTCTGCATTAAAATTTGCAGGTGACCTAATCTCAATTGCACGTAACCTATACAGTCAAGTACATGTGTAGCAATGATACTCCATCCTACAGAAAGCACTGATGGAACTTTGTAGCAGGAATACATCAGTGCTTAGACATTCTTCCACATAACTTCTCTCATTCCTCTGAGATTTCTGCTTCCTTTTCCCTTGTTTGCTTGTTCTGTTTTTCTTTTCTGATACCTTCTCCTGTATACCTTGCTGCCTTCTGACTGGGTTTTGCCTTAGTTTTCTCCTTCAGGCCTGTGGACTTGCCTTCTCATTTGTCCACGTCGCGCAAACGGGGAGCTCACCAGTTCTCTGTGGTGTTCCCTTTCAGTGGGCGTTCGGGGTGACCATGTGGGAGATTGTGACCCGAGGGCAAACCCCTTATGCTGGCATCGAGAACGCAGAAATCTACAACTACCTCATCAGCGGGAACAGGCTGAAGCAGCCGCCGGAGTGCCTGGAAGATGTGTGAGTACTTCCTCTCCCTGCTGACTTGTGCTTCCTTGAGAGGTTTGGCTTATGGGACGGAAACAGGGGCAGCTGGCTGAGACTGTGACCTGAATCCATCCACTTACCAGCACACAGAGGCATTCACTAGAAAGTCTCTGGGTTAGCTATCAAATTTGCTCTGCTGGCAGAGCTCCCTGGAACCCGTGGTAGCTCCACAAACAGCTACTTTGGCTCAAGAGCTTGAACAGTATCAATGCTAGAAGCTCTTGCCTTTGTAGAAACCATAACTGCATTTCCAAAGCTCACTGTTCCCTGCCTTCTCAGGCCAGCATCTTTGAAGAACAGTCTAGCAAGTTTACAAGGAAACTAGATTGCAAAGGCAGTGGACTGCAGGTGCTTTTCAAAGCTAGGTCTCCAGTTTTCAAACTTGGATCTACTACTCACACAGAAATCAGGATGAGAAAGGCACGGGAGACAGGATTTAAGGTTCTGTAGTTCAGTGTCCCACCTTAAATTGCAGGCTAAAACAAAACCAGGACAGCCTTGTGGATATTGGTTTCAGGCATTTCCAGACTTGCAGGAAGGAGTCAAGTAGCCTGCTGGGGAGCACAGAACTGCACGTTGCAGTCCATGCTCCTGCTTTAGTCCTGTGGCATATCTACAAACGCTGGCTTTAGTGGCCTTTTCAAGCCATACCCAGTCTGTGAAAGGGTCAGCAAGAAGTCCCCGTCCCTCACGCTGTGATGGTGCAATATTCCACGTGGCTTCCTCTCCCCAGACTTTTTTTTTTCCAAGTAAATGAATAATCTGTACTCCTTACTGAAGCTGTGCACTTTTGTCTTTTCAGCAGCTCATTTTAACTGTTCCCAAGCTTAAATGAAAACATTCTTATGCTGCTGCTTAAATTCATTATTGTCTGCATCTTGACTGCTGTGAGTAGCGGTGGTTCCCAGTTGTGGAGCGTACGGCCATAGGATGTTAAAGATGCCAAATGAAGGGAAGATATTCAGTGAGCTGCCTGGCACTGAAGAACAATTCATCAAAAACTACTAAAAAAGTAACCTCCATTTTGAGAGGCCTTTGAACTACAAGTGATTGAGACCCAAGGAAATATGCCAGAAACACCTTATTATATGCTCATCCTTGGCTTATGTGCTTTTTCTGGGCTTCTGCTGGCAGCTGCTGTCAGCGGCAGCATCCTGAGGCAAATGGGCTTTGGGGTTGATCCTCTACAGCCAGTAGTTCCTTACCTTTCTTTCGAATGAATTCATGGTGTCTACCTGGCAGGGTAAAAGCATGTATTTTAATATCATGCTGCAGATAGGAAGGTTCTGTTTTATGCTGAGCATTTAGAGTTGTTTTGGCCACTTGAGAGGGACGTAATTCAGGATTCAGGCAACTGAGGCATTGAAGCTTTCTGTAAACCTAGTGTGAGATCCAAAAGAGGCTCATAAAGTCAATGGCAAGTGAGGGACATAGTAAAAGCCATCATGAATTGTTTAATTTCCCAGTGAGGGCCATATCAGATCTTTTCGGCTTACAAGCTTAACTGAGGCTTGTTTGTCTGCAGTGTTCTCCAGTGCCAGCACTGTGCTTTGTCCCTGCTCTCTGCGGAACTGGTGACAGCAAACAGGAGTGCAGCTGCTGCTTTGGGGGGCAATGTGTGAGGAGGAGAAGGGGGATGATGGCTCTGGCCATGCTGCAGCCAGGCTGGTGTGAGCCGAGGGGCAGAGCCCATCACCCCCCGTCCCCTGGTGCCATCTCCTCACACCAGCACTCAGGCAACTGCTGCTTTCGGCTGGCGTTTGGCCGCAGGATAAACACCATCTGCGTGGCAAGACAGGGCCTGCAGCCAGTAACAGCACCAAACAGGTGCTGAAGTTCAGCATCCCTTGGCAGGGCTTTTATTACTCTCTAAATAATTATTTTGATTAAAATGCTTTTGAAAATAGGAAGGAACGAGTTTAGATCCATAATACCTGCCCATGTGCCATCACCTGTGCGAAGCCAAAGCCAATGAGTTTTGGAAAACTCTCAGTGCTTTTTAATTGTGACTGCAGAAATAAATGCCTCGCTCTAAATGTGTTTAATACCCTGAGGACATACCCAGTCTAATTTAATAACAAAAGTTATGCAAATTCTGTGCAAATAAACACACACTGAAGCTAAAATTCTTGCCATTCTCTATTTTCTCTGCTCAGCAAAGCCACTGCCTGGAGGAGGTCAGAACCTGTTCACCCATGTTGTAGGTTAGGGAATTTGGATGTCTTGAGGTAGTGGTACTTCCCCGAGGCACACACCAGAGCAGTGCAGGACTGCACAAGCTCCAGTGTTGTAGAGGTGGGACGGAGCCCTCCAGCAGCAGGTGAGGAGCTGGCTCCACTCACCTCCTCTGCAGGTGTCCCCCTCACTTGATGGCTGGGCAGAGCTGTGCTGTGCAGAGCCCCTGCTGGGATGTTTGGGGGTGGCTGTGTGGGGTCTCAGTGCTCTTCTCTTCCTCTATTGCAGCTACGATCTCATGTGCAGATGTTGGCATCCCGAGCCCAAGCTACGCCCGAGCTTCGCAATGCTCCGGTACCAGCTGGAAATGATTCGGGGGAGGATGTCCACGCTCTCTGCCAGTCAGGACCCTCTTTATGTCAACATTGGGAAGGACAAAGAGGCGTCCGGCAGTGACCCTGCCCTGCACGCCTCCTTTGCAAACACGGACGGTGATGAGACTGTTGCTGGGGCAGCTGCTGCTGTCACGAGTGACTATCGCTACATCATGAGCCCCTTGTGCCTTGGAGATGATGCCGAGGCTGCAAGGCATCCAGATGGGCAGGAAGGGGAGGACAAAAGCCTTCTGTATGAGCTGGAGACAGAAGGAGAGAAAAGTTGTTAGTCTGTACATAGCAGTGACACTCTGCTTCCCTGGGACGGGATGTGTGCAGCCACGGTGCCGCGTCGCTTGGGGCTCCGATGCCGGATCTGGAATGGCTTTGAACAACGCCGGACGGAGCTCGTGGGCAGCTGTGGCAGCTTTCACCAGCTGTGTGGGCTGCAGCTGTGGACAGCTTGGACGGACCACAACCCTGACACCCCCTTGGATTTGGGGAGGGGGGGCGGTAGGGTGGGGAGTTGATCACCTCCCGCTGAAAGAAGGTCAAAGCCGAGGTGGGCAGTCAGTCTGTGCTCTGGTCCTTCTCACTGACAGCTGGAGCAGAGCTGAATGCACCCTCTGTGTTCAGTCAGCGCTCGCTCTCGTGTAGATGTTGTCTTCGGTACTGGCTGCATGACTTGGGACTGGTACCTCTGAAAACACTAGTGGGTATTTACGTTGTCATTCAGGACACCAGGGAAAATTCCCCTGGTGTTCACCCGGCAGTGCTGCCTAGACGTGTTGCCTACCTCAGTGGTTCTCAATCTGCAGATCTCCTTTCACCCAGCATTGAGTTTGAACATCTGGTACACTTCATGCGGTGACACTTGCTGCTCCTTCAGCCCAGGGCTCTTAGGAGATTCAGATGTTTCAATAAGTGGTGAAATTAGGAAGAAAAAAAAAAAAAAAGAAAATCCAGCATCCGTCTTCACCCCACACACCTCTTTTGTATTTTTTCTTCTGTTTGGCATCAGCTCAGGTCTGACCAGACTTGCAGCTGCCATTCAAATGGGAAGGAGGGAGAGCAGCTGGCGCGGGTGAGGGCAGGATCTACCTTCAAAGGGATTGAGAGGAAACCGTAGAGAGGACTTGCCAGCAGTAAGGGGAAGCAGTGCCAATTAATGCTAAGCTCTGTCCTCCAGGAGAGGAAGGAGACTGCTTAGCTGCAGAGTGGCAGCCTTGCATCACTTTCACCAGGAGCAGGGTTCAGTATTTGATTTAGAATGGGTTTTCTTTAATCTTTCTCTTTAACCATTCAGTGACTTTTTCCAATAACCCAGTGCTGTAGCTGCTGTGGTGAAGGTGTGAAATCAATCCGGGGAAGGTGTGCGTGTGTGTTGGGGGGAAGAACAGGGAGATCTCATTCTAAAGAGAGAGAGTCATCATCGCAAAAAAGCTTGAGAACCACTGGCCATTCTGTTTAGGAGGTCTTTTGGCACGCTGTAAAAGCCACATCAGATCATAGACCTGTATCACTGCAGCCTTCCAGACAGGGCAAAATTAATGGTTTTGCTCTTTGGATTTTGTTTTGTTTTTCAATCAGCATGTCTGACTCACTGTAACTGCAAGCGCTTCTGTGGTTTTTAATAATTTAATATTTTAATGTAAAATCAGCATTTGCTTTGTGCAGTGGTTCCCAGCAAGGAAGTGCAGTTACATCTTACTCTAATTATCCTAAATATTTGCTAGATCTTGATTTCTTTTATTTCCAATGCGCTGAAAACTCGGCAGAACCACAAGACTTAGGATTCCTCATTGCTCTTCCTTGGAAACAAATACCACCGCTGTCATCACTTGCCAAGTTGGCCAAGGTGGGACCAATGAGTCGAGTTAGACTGCAAGGCTCAGTATCGGGACACCCCGTTGTTCAATGCCAAGTTCTCAGTTATTGCAAGCTTAGGGGCTCGCTACAAAGTTTGGGTCCAGTTTGATCCCTTGTGGAGAGCCCTTTGTAAGGGAGGGAAATTGTAAGGGAGGGAAATTCCAGGCTGGGGCTTGGGCATGGGTCCTTTCTGTGAGGTTTCCTACCACAATGCAGCCTACAGCTGTCTCCAGAAGCTCCGTACGGTTCCTCGGTCACAGATAGGAACTGCACAACCTTACAGCCCAGGCACTACGGGGGTTTCTCTTCGTAAACGCAGGTGAGAAGATAACACCTAACAAAGGGTAACAGACGTGTGCAGTGCACACGGTGGCAGAGGGCAGAAGGCTATGCTCCCTGCAGCTGCCTGGGAAGCGCAGATGTACATATAGATTCTAACTTTGGGAAGCATGTCATTAGTTTTTATGCATTTTTTTAATAATAAAATACGTACTGTGTCCGCGTCACGGCCTCTTCTCTGTGGCAGGGGCTGAGGATGCTCTGAAGGGGTCTTCTCCCTTGCTGGGTGCGGTCACTGGTAAAATGGGCTCAGCAAGCCTCAGCTAAAAGCCTTTCTCCCTTCCCCAGCCATGATTAATCTGCTCCTTGGAGGCAAGGAGCTCGCTGCATCCTACCCCTACATGCGGCCTCTGCTCCAGTTCCTTCCCCCTTAAACCCGCCTGCACCCATCCGCCTTCTGGCAGCACTCCCCGGGGAGGAAAGGCTTGGAGGCAGCGGGTGAAATTGGGCTGCTGAGTCAAATGTTCCCAACACAACACAGAAGAGCCCCTGGGTTTCCAGCTCGCGGAGAAGAGCAGGCTCGCCTCGTGCATTTGTTCTCCATCAGCTGCACGCCCTCTGCCTGCCGGCTCGCTCCAAGAGGACGAGCGATGGTGAACGGTGGGAGTGCTCACCCCCCATCTGCAATGCAGGAGGAACAACTTCCGAAGTGCAAAGTGGATGCTGGGGTTAATATTTTAAGGTTCCAGTGCCCAGTGATGTCCCTTGGATCTGGTTCAAAGGATGATTTAATCCTTTTGCACGCAAGCCTGGTCAGAGCAGGTACAAACGCAGCTGGGCCGTGGGTGGGAGAAATGACAGCAGAGGAAGAGGCAGTGAGGGAAGGAAATTGGAAGGTGGGCAGAGGTTGGGTGAGCTGTGAAGGCAGCTACAGAGGGAGCTGGACAGCAGGGCTGGGGCTTTCAGTTTGTGAGGTGCTGGAGCAGGGAAGGCATTTCCCCAGTTTCCCCAGCTGGGTCTCAATGGGGGGGGGCTGGCTTTGGGTGCTGGTACAGGTTGCAGCGCTGCTCTGTACCAGGAGCGCTGGTTCAGGCACCCTTCTGTCAGGCTGGTTTCCTAACAAAACCCAAGCAATTCCCCCACGACCACCCTTATTTGGCTGTAGTGCTGGGTAGTTTGTGCATGAGACCAGATGCGTGGCTGTTCTCATGCCTATCACCTTCCTTCTTGGCCTGTGTTTGGGCAGGAGCCTTGCTTTACTGGGATTTACCCAGTCCAAACAGCTGCTGGAGTCAAATGCAGTTAATTTGGGGTAAAAGTTTGAGTCTGTCTGAGCACAGCAAGAAATAATACTTTCATGTGTATTTTTTTTCCTGATATACATCGCATTTTGCTGGCAGAATTCATTCTCTAATGCTTGGCTGGCAGCTTTTCCAAATGCCCCCCCCCCCCCCTTTTTAACCATTAACTTCTGTCGAGGCAATTCCGTGGGGGGCCCACGTACAGAGTCCCAGTTTTATAGGGACTTGTTAACACCCCTTGTGCTGTGCTGGGATACCTGGAGCAGAGCCAGTGAAGCTCTCCCCAGCTGCAGCGCTCACCACAGCTTTGCCCCCCGAGGAGCCCGGTGGCCAGCAAAATCACCGAATTTCTGCCTGACAGGAAGGCACAGATATGGTGTCTACGGCCTGCCCTCAGAAAGCTTATAAGGACTGCATCGCCTCCAGACCTCTACTTTGCTGTCGTTTGGGCTGCAATGAAGCAATGGATTCAGAAGCTTTTAGGGACAACACGTGCGGGCTGTGATCAGGAAGCCTTGTTACCAGGGGAAACCGGAATCGATCGCTCGGCCCATGAGCAGAAATACCGACGGACGTGGGTTTGATCGCATGGGCTCTGTCACAGCAAGGAGCTCGGCGTCGGCATGAATCAGCCGCCTGTCACCGTGTGATGGTCTCGTGACAAAACCGAGACGATGGAGCCCTCGGTTAATAACTGCTCTGAGGATCCTCCGGCTCGAGGCATGCTGAGCCAATGTGTTCCTACATGTGGGCAGGCTGGGGAAGCATAAAATCCCTTGGCTGTGCTGACGACAGCACCAAAATGCAGGGCTGGGTACTTCAGCAGCAGTAGCTCCTTGTCCAGGGCTGCCCCAGCCCCAAGGGCAGCCACCAGTGGGTAGGTCCAGTTTCCTCCAGTTTCTTTTTAGTGGCTTAAAATGGAGCTGAAAGATAGGTCAGACCTCGGGAAGTGGCATCTCTGCCCGTGGCAGGGGGTTGGAACCAGATGCTCTTTAAGGTCCCTTCCAACCCAAGCCACTCTGGGATTTTATGGTTCTGTCATGTGGTGAGTTCAGTACGGATTTAATGGGACTGGAGGAGCTTCCAGAAAAGTCTTTATAGGAGCTGACTCTCAGCTGCCTGCTGTGTGTGGTGACGGGAATTTGTGAAGAGGAAGGAGGGTTTGCATGCAGGAAAGATCGAGTTGGGAATACAAGACACTGCCCGACCTGCTGGAGAACACGCGTCAGTAGAGGTGACAGAGTGGGAGTGGAGAGAAACCGCGGGGCAGGCGAGAGCGGCGCTGTGCCCACGGCAATTAGTGTGGCGAATCTGGGAGCTCGCTGCCTCGCGGGTTAATCTGCGAGACAGCGATCCCGGGAGCTGCCCTCTCATTAACCAAGCTGCGTGGGAGCGCGCTGCTGCCACCTCCTCGCTTCTGCGCAGCCGGTGCGTGCCGCGGCTGCAGCTGCTGTGCCTGCACGCTGCCGGCTGCAGCAGGGAGCCCTTGGTCACTCGCTGCTGCTGCTCCCTCCTTCCCCTTATTAAATCGCGCTAAACCAAGCCACAAAGCCCGCCGAGGTTCCAATTGCTGAACGGCGTAAGCCAGCATGCTGCCGCTAACACCAGGCCTAATTAATGCGTTTCTCGGTGTTATCTGTCTGCATCATTCCTCCTCCTGCACAAAGATATGTATGAGCAGGAGCAGAAGCATTTTGCAGGCATGTGGCTGGGTGCAAGAGAAGGGACCGAGCTGTAACAGCCTTTTGGTACCTGGTACCCAGGCTGCAAGGTGTGCAGGCAAGGGAAGATGCAGGGGCTGCGCCAGGCACCCCAACTGCTCCCCAGGACAGGGCAGGATCCGATGCGGGTGCTTAGCTGCTCACAGGAGCGGTGCCAAATCCTGGCATTGAGGCTTGGACAAGCACTTACACTGAGCGCTCAGCTAGGGCAGCCCAAGCCCCATCTGCCCTGTATTTGCTCATTCCCCCCTCCCTGTGCTGCAACGTGGGATCCTGGCGCTGCTGACGGTAAGGCGAAAGAAAGACGGCAGAGGCTGCAGGCAGGAGGCTGAAGCACGGGCACGCGTCTCCAGCAGCGCCGCTGCGGGGGTGGAAATCTCCGGCAGAGCAAGCAGCCGGTGACTCCGCACCCCTGAGTGACGCCAGCCCGGCTGCCAACGCGCCCAACTGCGCCAGCGCCATCTCACCGAGGCTGATGCACTGAGCGGGACCTGGGGCAGCGACCTGGCTGGCTGCTTGAACAGTTATCTCTGCTTTCTACCTCTCGATGGGTTTTCTGTGTTTTAAACCTATTGATGGGGGCTCTCTGGGTCACTGCTTGCACTGCCCAGGGCTGCTGCCCGGCCAGCAGGCCAACTTTTCCTGCAGGCGTAATCAGGCAAAAATCCAAATGAGAAGAGCTGGCCCTATTTATAGCAAAAAATAGCCTAGCTTGATATTATTTCTCTGTTTTCTTTCTTAATACGCTCAGGAAAATGTTCCCAGCCTGCTGAGTCCTGCAAAGCTGTAGCTGCAGTGCTGGGAGCACAGACAAGGGCTGGCCCACGGGGGCTTTATTTGGGGATTTATGCTCCCGCGTTTGGCAGCCGCTGTATCAGCAGAGCAGAACTTACACAGGCTGGCTCCCTGGCAAGGCAGTGACACAGCTGAGGCAAGCGCGTAGCCTGCACCCGGCCTGCCTTCACGCCATGCCCCCACACCCCTGGGTGTAGATGTTTTTTTCCCCTTCTCGTGCTCATGCAGCTGCTGAGCCCCACCAAGCCCTGGTGCCGGTACCGTGGCGGGGCGATGGGTGGCTGCTTGCAGGAGTCCACGGGATGGTGCCTTCGCAAGGCTGGCACGAGCTCAAAGTCGTGCTTTGCAGCTTGCCCGTTTCTAGATGATTTTTTATTGGCATCAGAAGGCTGTGCCTGTAGAAAATCTGTGCTTGCCTTCGTTCCAGGAAGGCTCTAAAATTTTATTAGGGAAAATAGTGGATTTCTTTATTTATTTTTTTTTCTGTAAATATCTTACAAAGGGTGCAGGCGATAGCACATCACTGAGCATGAGCTTTGCAAATACAGGCACAGATGTCCTCAGCACACTGTTAGTGAAACGAGGTGAAATCCTCAAGAGGACAGGGCTTTCTGCTTTCTTTCCACGTGTTTGCAGGGTGACATTCAACCCCGGTACCCCAACAACTGGCTTTCCCCAGAGCCGTTCCCCCAGCTGGAAGCAGGGGTGTGGATGAACCTGCAGAAAACATCGTGGTTTTTTTTTTTTTTTTTTTTTTCCCCCACTTGAAATTCTGTTTACAGGAAGGATGTCATGAACGTCTGCTCAATTAGATTGGTTTTGCAAATCTATGGGAAGAAAGTGAAGTCAGAATTTGTCCCCAGACTAGTCCTTTTCCCTTGTATTGACATTTGGCGTGCAAAATCTGAAGAGATTTCAGGGTGTGCAGTTGGGGTTGCCCCTGCGAGGCCCACAGTGAGACTGGGAGAGCAGTGAGGACGCCTCTGGCAGCTGCCAGCCCCCAGCCCGTGCCGGGCTCATTTCTGTGCTGTTCCCTGGGATGTTTCTGCAGTTCTGTGATGTGGTTGTGCTGCTTATCGGTAGCATCCATGGAGAAAGTGTTTTACATATGACTTTGCTTTTGGCTGGTTGCATTGTCTCTGCCATTTCTGCAGCTTCTCTGGGTGCACCTCAATGCAATGCATAATGTACAAACGGTGCCTTTGAGTGGATGCCTTAAGGTGGCCCTGGTTCGGATGAGGGGCAGAGCCCTGGTCCCAGCCCTCCTGCTGCCTGCCTCCCTGAATTGGTACTGGCAGGATGGGAAGGCTGCAGGGCACGGACACAGTTTGTCCTTTAGCACCATTTACACCCTTAATGTCGATCGGGGCTGCTGCAAATGAGGATGCTGCAGCATGAGAACTACAGG